TTCCTCCTGAACTATAGGCTTGTAATAAAATTCCCCTTAAATTTTAATTTTAGCTTTTTCTCCCCTCGAGTTTAAGCAACTTATGCAAATTTTCCCCTCTATTAAATTTTTACTTATGTTATTGCTGTATAAACCTCTAAACTCCAAAGTTTCTTAGGTCAAGTAAATTAAGAGAAAGTTGGTGTAGTAAAAAAAAATGACAACTCCTATTGCGTAATTGCACTTTTGTGTGACTAAACGAAGAGGAGCTAACAGAGTAATTATGTACTAAAAATGGTTCAATAACATTCATTATTTGTGTGATACGTGTTATTTATATTAAAAAACTTAACATAAGGAGTTTTTTTAATTATTATTAGTTTTTACATTTCACATGACATTTTTTGCTAAAAATTTAATTGAGAGAGAAAATTTACAAGAGTTGTTGAAGTTCGAAGGAGAAAGAGTTAAACTTAAAGTTCAAAAACATTTTATGATAAGACCTATAATTCGAAGAAAAACGTGCAATTTATCCTAAATTTTACACTCTTATCCTTTTTTTGTTGAGAATTTTACAATCTTATCTTCGAGTATCACATAATGGCACAAAGGTGCACCAACTCGTGATAAACTGTTAAATTTATTTTCAAAGTAAAGAATAATTTCATAAATGTCCATTAATCCATGTACATTAACAGAATTCACCGTATAACGTTCATGAATTCTTGACTTTTACTAGTTTTGTTTAAAAGAAAATTGTTAAACTTATTTTTAAAATGTATGAATTTATATTTTTATATTTTATTCTTAATTAATATCTTTTTAACTAATATAGAATAGTTCTCTAACTGAAAACAATACTAGTCTAAAATAAATAGTAAAAATCTAAAATCATTATTATCTCATCTTTCCTTTGTTTATACACATTGGTTTCATTTATTTGCCGACACAAATGTAAACCTGAGTGGTATCGAAGTGAGTTGACTATCACACACATTTTTTCACCATTTTGAATTTGGAGTTTGTGAGAATTCAATTCTATCGACAAGTCTGCCGTGATCCAATTCTTGTTCAGCAATTTTAAACGTCGTGCCTTGGAATTGAATTATTGTGAGAATTCAAATTCCCAGACATCGGAGTTCGAGTTGGAATTCTCTCTTTAGAAACACCTATAAAATGAATTTCCATTTACTCACACAATATTGATATGCGTGCATCTTTTCTCTTCCCAAAAATTGCTCCTTTTTTTTTTCCTTCTATTTTTTTAGATGGATTTGAACTCAACACAAGCTCAAGAAGTATGATTTGGAAATTTTTTTTTTTTGACCGAACACTGTGAGGACATATTTAAAGCTTAAAGAATGTTTGGTACCTAGATTTATTTTTTGATTCGAATCATGATTCGTAGTTCGTTACAATATTTTTTCTTATAAAAAATACACATAAATTAAAAATAATTTTAATCACATAATTTTAATCCATAAACCAAACGTCTTCTTAGTTTCAGCTTCTCATGTTCCAAAGTATAAAATATTATTTGTTTTATGTTTAATTGTCAAAAGGAATTCACCCGATATCATTATGTCCATTTCTGATTAGACAGTCAATCTCCTGTTTGCATAGATGAAATTTCAAATTAGTCCTAATCATTGCAAAAGTATTTAAACTTTTTTTAAGGATAAGTTCAAATTCAATGGAATGATTAATTTCAATGAAACTACAATTCTTTAATATATTATTCTCATGCTCGGTAGATTTACCATCTAAAAAATAAAAATAAATAATGTGTGTGTGTGTGTGTTGAAGTATGTTTACTGTTTAAAACAGGACTTTGTAACGCCATAATAAATCATCAAGAGTTGATCCCCAAGTAGATGTTACACTTTGCCAATTGAAAGCAAAGGCAATATTTTGGAGATCTATATATCACATCATTGGTAAGAATGGGTCCACTATTTGTCCAGGATCAGTGAGACCATAAATTTTTATCTTTATAGTGTAGGGACATGTTATCTGGTTGATGCGTATACAATTCAAGCCACACAAAAAAATTTCTAGATATGAAGATTACTATAGAATATTTAAGATTCTAGCCTCTTAGTCAAACATACGAATTCTAAATTTATTTTTTAACACCACCCTTATTGGCCAAAATGGAGATGACTTGGGGAGATACCAAATGACCAACAGTCTCTTTTCAGATTTTAATTAAGTTTGGAATTGATCTCATTTTTATTTTTCACATTTTTTTAAGAAAAAAATAAAAACGTTTTTAAAACGGCGTTTGGCGCAATAAAGATAAAAAATGAAAATGAAAACGATTTTTTAATTTAGTGTAAAATGAGAGAGAAATGAAAAACGACTTTTAGTCGTTTTTCATTTTTTGTTTTCGTTTTCTCCTCTCTCGAGTAGAGAGAGAGAAATAGAGGCATTAATAGGTTTTTTTACACTGAAAATAATCTCTTGATAAAACTACCAAACACATTTTTAAAAATGATTTATATTTGAGACTGAAAACGTTTTCATTTTTATTTTCATACAAAAAATAAAATCATTTTAGAACGAGTTCGAAACGCACCCTAAATAACAACTTTTTTAACACTACCAAATGTATGAAAAATTAGGCGATCATGAGAGAATTCTACCGTGTCCTACCCAATAAACTACAACAAAATGAATTAAATCAAAAAGGGTCTATGAAGTAGGTGTAACGGTATTGGTTAAAGAGTCCTCTCGCGATATCTAATGGTGGGAGCATCCTATACTATTTGATATATACCGCGTGATTCAGATCATACGGTTAATAACCTCATCAGATGGGTAGGATGGGGGGGTGTTCGTAATCCTAAAAATTCTCCTATCTTATACATGAGGTTGGACATATATTGTGATAATGAGAGTAACGGATGCTTAGACAATGGAATAAGTCCGACAAAGGTAACAAAGGGTTAGTACCTTTCTCATAGCGTTATCTGAAAAGACTGAAGAAGATAATGGATTCACCCAAAAGTACAAACTCCTCTCTCTCTCTCTCTCTCTCTCTCTCTCTCTCTCTCTCTCTCTCTCTCTCTCTCTCTCTCTCTCTCTCTCTCTCTCTCTCTCTCTCTCTCTCTCTCTCTCTCTCTCTCTCTCTCTCTCTCTCTCTCTCTCTCTCTCTCTCTCTTGAGGTAAAGAGGAAAAGAGAAAGTTGATAACAACACCTTTTCCCCTTGTCTCAAATGCCTCCGGTAAATTTGTCAAGTCAACAAGGAAGCACCCTTTTGCACGTCCCAACACTTACACAAAGCTTAACCGATCAAAACCATAAAAAGGTCGAAATGCAAGGTGCAGTGCAGCCTTAGTGATGATGAATGCCGACAAAGTTTTCCTCAATATGGTCAAATCCAAGACAAGGGGGAAGATAAATGGGCCAAGGACTTGGAACAGAAAATACAACTATACCCTATAAGAAGGCAGCACAGAAATAGGCTCAGACTTGAAATGAATTAAAATTAATAAGTCAATAGTTTATATAAGTTAATAAATAGATCAAATTACTATTTTCGTCAATAATTTGTCTGGTTATGAACTATAACTTGACAAGTTATTGTTCATAATTTATGATTTTTATCCATAACTTGTCTAGTTATGAACAATAACTTAATAAGTTTGTCCATAATTTATCTGGTTAACTTGACAAGTTATGACCTATTAATTTTTATAACTAAAAATTGATCTATATACTTTCTTAAACTTTTCATATTAGTCTATTTTTTACTATTTCTGCAGATACACCACATATGCAAAAGAAGACCCAAAATAACATTTTTGGACACATGACTCTGTGTAGCTCTAAACCATGTTTAATTTGAAGCCTGTTAAAGATCAACTCTTTACCCTCAACTGACGCTTATTTTTCTCCATTTTTCTTATTGTTTTCGTGAGCACTTTGAAAGAATTTGCCAAATGCCAAGTTCTCAATCTCAGATTCAGCAATTTTTTTTCTATCAACTGTCTCCCATGTTTCGTTCTGCCCTCTTTTCGATTACTATCTTCCATGATATGCTCTGCAGTAGCTCCTCTATGCCGACGCTAGAATTCTTATAAACAACTTATGCGTACATGTATTCAAATAATTTAATTTTACAGCCTATCTTAGCAGCCTATCTTAGCATTTGACCCCTAAGCTGATATATCGTTCTCATCTACACTGATTTGCATTACACGAGCGATCGCTGACGTAAACCAAATGGAAATGCTTGAAAAATTCAAAGGGCAATGGGGCACAGGGTTTTTTTTTTTTTTTCCTTGTGCTAGAATTTAAGTGAAGTAATGTGTACTTGTAGGAGTTAAAAATTTTATTATGTGTAAATTATGGCAGATGTCGAAGTCGAAGTTGAATATTACCAAGATTGCTGGCTTAAACTGTTTTGTACTTATGAGAGGGTAGGTTAAATACCAAAAACTGGATGATGCCCTGACCCCACCTTCTCAAACCCATTTTTATTTGAGATTAATTTAAACCCCATTCATTTCACCGATTCGATATTAGAATTCGAGTTTTAGTACAGTAAAAAACTCTCAGAAACAGTCACATCTAACTTTTTTACTACAGTATAAAACTCTCACATAAAATTACATCTCAACTCGAATTAAAAACTCGAATCAGCGAACTAAACAGGACCTTAGTCACTCATGATGAGTATTGCAGAGGGGAAAATGTATCTTTCAAGTGAACGATTCGGTATTCTAATAAAGCGTCTAATATAGGTCGTGAGAGTAGGGATTGATCATTGAATAACAAAGCTAAATTGGCCCGTAGTATTCTCAGTAAGTGTGAGAAAGGTATCGAAGCATGTCACTGGAGCAGGCCCAGACTCCAGTTTATAGGGGCAAAATCCAGGCCGGGCTATTGTAGTACCACACGTGAAAATGAGAGACAGGAGTTCGTGATAACTGAGGAAGTCTAATAAAACTATAAACAAAAACTGAATCAGTGCTTGTAAAAGATCTAATGTCAGTTCCAGATCCCTGGACTGAGATTTTTAACCAATCACAAACCTAAGGTTGTTAGCTTCAATATCATATTAAGAATTCCAGACACAAAAGACCGACCATTCACAAATGGGGAATGCCTCCATTGAATTGAAGTTCCAACTAACAATGTAATATCATGACAGCATCTCAAGATCTAGTTTCCAAATAGCCATGTCAAAAATGCCAAAACAGCAATCACAATCATGATATTTAGAAAATAGTTGGACTGTAGAGGCTTATCTGGGCTTCCCCCTATGGCTTCATATTCTGCACGAATCTTCTGCTTCATACCATCAGACAGCTCTCTCTGCAATTCAAATAGGTAAACTATTGAATTTTATTCCACTCTCCTTCACTTAAGACTTCCAAGTTCCAAGTATTAGTTGTGAGTTCACACGATTTGTAAAAAGCTTCATCTTGTATTATTTAAAGACACGGCACAAGAAAACACGACATTTGTTTTTAATCCTGCATCAAACCATAAAAGGCACTAACAATGAACAATTTGAACGCACAAAATTTCCAACAGTATTTTATGGAAAAAGATGAAACAAATTCTTGATAAAAATTGATTAGAAGAATAATGAGATATAAGTTGTTAGTCGTTACAACCTTCCCCGATGAGTACTTAGCTGCCACAAACTTCTCCGGTGCAGGTTTTGCAGCCCCATCATCAATTACAATACCCTGATCAGGAAACACATTAAAAGGTTTTTAGGCGTACTCTCTGTACCATCATAAATAAGGGAAAAAAGGCAGAGAAACGAAAACACCTTGTTGTAAAGCTCATTTTGTGTCCCTATCCTATGATACTGGGAAACAAAGCAGGTAAGCGAACTACAAAACTGGATTACCGCCAAAGCTCAAACATGAAGATAATTGTTAGAGAACCACAACAAAGGACACACGACTTAGTCGGTACTTAATTGTCTTACTTGTGATCTTTAGGAAACCGAAAGCACATGCTAGAATAACCTCTAGATATGTAAATTAAGCTGGCTTAAGGAACGCCTGATGAAACTAGGTGAAAAAACCCAGTTTTTTTGTACCCCCCCCCCCCCCCGGGGAAAATAAAGATACAAAGAAGATAGGAGAGCATGGACTAAGATACCAGGCAGGCTTCATCATTAAAACTAGATCATTCAGTAGCATTCAAATCAAATAGCAATCAGCCACATTCAAGGCTAACAAACCTCCGGAGGATCAAATTTAGCTCCAAGATTGCTTAGTTTGGCATGGGCTTCAGCATAATCCTTGAAGAATGCTTCCTGATCTTCTGCATATTTTTCAGCATATACCTGAAAATAAAGTAGTCATTTGTTTAAGAAACTGTCAGAACTAGAGAGAGAATGTTATTCTCTAGAAGTCGTTTTAGTTTACTCTGAAAGACGGGTCATCAAAAAGAACAGCATCAGTTGGCAAAACCAGTAGATCTTCATCTTTCCTCTCTTTGATATCCTGTACAGAGAAAAAACATTCAGGAAGAGGATCCCCTAAATCGTCTCTCTTTTTCGCTTATTTGCCATAGTCATGCACACACATGCTCCAAGTCCAAATGAAGACATAAATTTCAGACCTTGAAGTAGGAATTATCAAACTTCAACCATTGCACCGTCCAGGACTCTCCTCCAGGTGCTCCTGGCCCATCTTTCTGTCATACAATTGATTCTAGTTAACTTCTTTAAAAAAAAAAATGTTCTTATAATTGCTTAAGCATTTCTGTATAGCCTTTTGTAGACAGTCCCTGATTTTTCACTACAGATTCTATAATATACCATAATATAACACGCGTACACTGTACTGTCTTATACATAATGGCATAGTTCTTAAGGTGATTATTTAAGGAACAGAACCGTTCTAAAATATTGAAAAAGTAATGAAACGAGCAGATCTGGCTATATGCAAGAAATCCTCTACAAAATAGATCAATAAAGGTAAATACAATAAAACATGGAAGATGGAAATTTATATTTGATAGAACTAATGACAATGATATATCATTCCTGATCTGGATTATATGACATTGTATTGAAACCAAAATTTTGTATTTGCAAGACAAGAATCTGAATATTTTATTATGTATTCTAGGCGGTAATTTTATCTCGAAACTAAGGAATAAACAAGGCAACATCGAAAAGTAAATATTAATCTAAACAAGGGAGAGCACAGTTTAAGACGAAGAAAGATTAACCAAAAGGATGCTGTTAGGACTCTAGTTCCCTTTCGTACCGGAGATCTAACAGATGCCCATGTGTAATGCTCGTCATTTGGTAAAAAGGTCTTATCTCAAAATCTAAAATAATAACATATTATGGAAAATATACAACAAAGGTTACCATAGCAAATCAATTATCAGCACTAATGAATGTAAGATTCTTCAATACCGTATACTTTGTCTCAGGCTTGCCCCAACCACTTCGATCCGGTCTGGACCTCCCCAGAGTGTGTGCACCAGATAATGCGACGATTTCCTGCAGAAAAACAGATATCACAAGCCTGTTGGAATCACTTGCAGACAAATAGTCTACAGAACTGAAAGTTCACCTCGTCATTTAACCCCATTCTGTAGAAAACTTCTCGTAGATGATCGGCAGGAGATGGAGGACCAGCAGCTGAAAAATCAGATAAATTTTTCAAAAAAGAAACAGGAGGCAATGAGGCTGATACAAACAGCATCAGTTATGAAGTTATATTTGTTCACTTACAGGGAAGTCTCCCTTCTTCTGGGCACTGCTCAGGTCCTGACACATCCACTCTTCCATACTTCATGGGGAGTTTTGGCCCCCCAGCTTCCTGAAGTTTCAAAAGAACTCGGTGAGCAGAAAGTTTTATTGATTTGGATGTTGCATGGAGTAATTTTAGTAAAAACGAGCAGAAAGAACCTCAATTGCAGTAGCACTGGCCAACTGGAACAAGTCTGCATATGTGACACCAGAATACTTGTCTTTGATAGGCTGAAGAAGTTTCAAGGCATTCACAAGACCTGAGATAACATAGCTTATTAAAATAATTGTCAACAGAGCTTTAAAATGGCACTGTACAAAGTCCAGCCATTACCCGCATTGGCTCCATGCTTGAGCTCAATCTCAAACCTCAAACTTCCATTAGCTCCACCTCTTTGTGGCCACTCCTCAATGTTCTTGTTGTAAGTACCAGCATCATGCCATCCCAAGCGAACCTGTTGTACAGAATGTGTTAAATACGAGACAATCGAAAACATGTTAATCTTGCTGTCTCTATTTATAACTAAAATGCAAATCCAGAAAAGAAAAATAGCAATCAAAATTCATATAAACTAATTAAAATCCGTACAAAGATCCCCATACAACTTGCATTGGCGTTTGATCACTTTATCAACCTGAGATTCTCACTACTTCCAATCTTTCAAAATTTTACTAATGGTACTTTAGGTTATTACACTCGTAATTTTGGTTGTCTTGGTTTTCTTTACATTGAAGGAGGCGCTGTTTGCAGGGTTAAAAAATATATTAGAGAAAACACAATAAGGCCAAGAAGTACATGATTTTCTTTCGTGATTGTCTTCGTCATTACAGCGAATTATTATAGAAGTACTAAAAAGTGGACATAGCTGGACATATCACGATTAATCGTGTGTGTGTTCTTTGCTCTCAGTAGCGAAAATTAGGGCGTCTATTCTAAACAATCAATAGCGGAAATGAAATTTATGCATTACAAATTTAAGGAAAGACGCACAATACAGTGTGTAGAGAAATCAAATGGCGGAACAGAAACAAAGATACTCCGAACAAAGTTCCATGCGCTTAATCACAGAAGTAAAATTAAGGAAAAATAATTCAGTAACAACTAGCAATTATATCACCGATCAAAGAAAAAATTAAACAAAAAATAAAAAAGAACGCGTGTAAGGTATGGATATACCAAAATAGGATGGCAGAAGGTGTTCTTGAGAAGCTGCTTGATGTCTTCTCTGGCACTCTTCAGCTGCTCCGTATCGGAAGCGGCGCATTTCGGAGCAGAAGCCGCACTGAACCCTCGACTCGAGACGTAAGCCAACGATCTCTTCTGCAATGGAAAAATCAAACAAACATTCCGTCACAAAACGCCAAATTCCGCATATAACAAGTACAATGTAAAGCGATTCCGATTCCTACCTGATTGAGAAAAAGGCCAGAGACGAGAGGAGAGGATCCGAGGCCTTTGAGAGAGAAGGAACGAGAAGAGGAAGAAGAGCGGGAGGAGAGAGAGAGTGTGGTGGCGGTGGCCCTGGCGGCGGAGGGGAGGAGGCGGGAAGAGGCGGCGGCGGCGGCGGAAGTAGCCATGGGAGGGAGAAGAGAGCAAGAAAAGGACGAATGGGAGAGTGAGAATGTTGCAGTGAGAGAGAAAGGGTCTGCCATATAGAGATATTGTGTTGTATTTTGTCTGCCTCTCCTTTAGTTTCGGTTTCGGATTTTGGAGAAAAATGTCCAAAAAAAGCGCCAATGCCAAATGGCAACCCGCCAGTTGTCGGTGGCGGAGCCCAGACACACGCCCTCTTTTATCGGTTTTTTTAAGGACGTTTAATTTTAAAATTAAAATTATGATTTAAAATTAATTTATATTTACGTGTATTTTTTTATAAAAAAAATATTATAATGAGTCATAAATTAATATTTAAATTATGGTATAAATTCTTACGCTAAAACGCGCGTTTAATTTCTCTTCTTCAGTTAATCTAATCCCTCCTCTCATTTAAATATATCACAAATTTCATTTTATATTTTTACAGATTTTTTGAACATTTTTTTTTTGTCGGAAATTTGTATCTTTAGAATTATCATTTTTCTAGTTAGAATAGTTGTGTTTAACCGTTTATTAACTTTTCTATAGTTTGATTTGAAATATGAGTAGACACTCTTTTTTGAGTAAAAAACTCAAAAAAAGACAACTCGAGTTATAATTTTATTCGAGTTTATGTTCTTTTAAGTTTAAACTCGAGTTTAGAAACTCGAATTTAAATTAATGAACAATATTTTTTTCTATTCTTAAAACTGTTATATAACTTTTTCTTTTTAATTCTGATTGAGATGATTTTTTTCTATCTGTTGACAACGAAAAGACGAATAAAACCCGACCCATATACCTTATTAAAATTTTTTATTAGCATTGAGTTTTTATTAAAATACTATCTAAATACAAATTTAAGTTTTGACTTACTCGAACACAAACTCTAAAATTTTTTTAACTCAAACCATAGCTCAAATGTACACAATTAAACACAAACTCATATTACAAGTTTAACTCAAATTATAACTCAAATTCAACTCAAAAATTATACTCAAGTTAAACTCTAAAAGAACAAGCCCTTAAAATTTAAGTTATACAATACATAACTATTTCAATTTATAGATGAGTCTTTAAAAAGCTAATCAAACACTTAAAACAGCAATACCTATTAACAGTGAACATGAAGTTCATGAACGGTTTCTATCATAAAAATTTTAAGAGAAAGAGTATCAATCAACACTCTCCACAAATCGTTAGTAAAGACAAATATATTGATATCAGTGAAAATATTAGTACTTAAATTTTACAAAAGTATAGAACGGTTATTTTTAACGTAAAATGCAATTCTGGTGCATTGAATTTTAAACCCCCCTTTTCAAAAATGAGTTGAAAGATTGAAGATACAGTACAGTCTCGTTTATTTCGTCGATTTGAGTTTAGAATTCAAATTTTATTACAGTAAAAAACTCTCAGAAACAGTTATATCTAACTTTTTTGCTACAATAAAAAGTTCTCATACAAAATCACATCTTAACTCAAATTATAAATTCGAATCAGCAAAATAAACGGGCCCTACACTAATCGTCGGAAGTGAAAACTGAAAAGGGTGATATTGAAATATATAGATACATTGAATTTAGCATTTAAAAAAAAAAAAAGTGTTTCTTCAAGTCAAAATCTCCAAAATTCAAAAAAGGCAGCTTGAAACAAGAATCTCCACTCTCTAGGGTGTTCACATGGAAGTCTTCCCTCGTTTCTTTACCCCCAAGCATAATTGTCGTAGGCAATGACGTGTAATGCAGCGAGCAGACGGTAAATCAAATAAGCGTAGGACCCAAATCAAATAAGCATAGGACCCGTTTATTCCTGTTGATTCGAGTTTAAAATTTAAATTTTGTTACAGTAAAAAATTCTTAGAAATAGTTACATTTAATTTTTTTACTATAGTAAAAAGCACTAGGCCTGTTTAGTTCGCTGATTCGAGTTTACAATTTGAGTTGTGATGTGATTTTATGTGAGAGCATTTTACTATAGTAAAAAAGTTAGATGTGACTGTTTCTGAGAGCTTTTTACTATAGCAAAACTCGAATCGGTAAAATGAACGGGGTATATCACATCTTAACTCGAATTAAAAACTCGAATCAGCTAACTAAACAGGTTTTTCGTTAATTTGAGTTGATATGTGATTTTATGTGAGAGTTTTTTACTGTAATAAAAAAATTAAATGTAACTATTTATGAAAATTTTTTACTATAATAAAAAAAATTAAATGTGACTATTTCTGAACAGAACCGTAATCTATTTGTGAAGATGGCAAATAAAAATAAACATAAAAACCTTTTGTTTCAATTGATAATGTGTACTTATATCATCGCGGTAGTCATCGTTATTACATATTGTCAACAAATTAAAAATTTATATATATCTATAAGACCTATTAATCAATGACGGAACTATAAATCTTTTTCAGTAGAGGCACAATATTAAAGACAAAAAATAGGTCTACAGTTAAAATAAAGACAAAAAATAGATATACAGTTAAAATTCACTCATTATGTATATAACTCTCTTTTATTGAGTGAGGATATAGTTATGAGTTTCTTAGGACTCGTTCGTTTGAACATTTAAATTCAAGTTATACTTTTATTTAAGTTCACGTTATTTTGTAAAATTTGAGTTTGAATTTGAATTTGAATTTGAGTTTGGGATTAAAATATGAGTTCAAGTTTCCCTTTCAACTCAAGTTCTTAAACTTAAACTCAAGTTAATTAACAATATTTTTTTTATTCTTAAAAACGTTATAACTTTTTTGTTTTAATTCCGATTGAGATGATTCTTTTATTTATGCATTTACAATAAAAAGATGAATAAAAACTCACTCACATACCCTATTAAAATTTTCCATCATCATTGAATTTTTATTAAAATACTATCTAAATAAAAACTCAAATTTTGATCCATCTTAACACAAACTTAAAAAGATTATAATCTCAAAGCATAACTCAAATGTACACAACCAAATACAAACTAAAGTTACAATTTCAATTTAAATTATAACTCAAATTTAACTTAAGATGTACACTTAAATCACCGTAACTTAAAAATACAACTGAACAAGCCCTTAATTTATTAGGGACACTTATAATTTTTCAGAACTTTACCTTTCATCATAAAAGAAAATGATGATCTCACATGGTTTTAATAAGTCGTTAAAATATAAGCATTACAAATTTTTTTTTTTTTACGACATTCCCCAATATTATGCGGGCTGATGTTTAGTAGGCCCACGGGCCTCAACATTAAAGTGCTCCATGGGGTGAACCATTCGGCCCCAAAGGCCGTTGTCGAAAGCCCACCAACTGGATGATTCAAGGGATTCAAATTATGGAAAAAGGAGAGAAGTATGCAGTGCCCCTTAAGATGGATCTTACTCTTAATTAATACTTTTTAATTAAAAAATTATATTAGTTAAAAAAATATTAATTAAAAATAAGGTGTAAAAATCTTAAAATAATACATTTAAAGAGTGAGTTCGTTAATTTTTTCTTTGATTTTTTATCAATGATTTCCATGAACTGTGAATTATGGACGAGGCCGACCAATGTTGTGCTAACTGCTAAATATGATGAGTTTTTAGCTGGTTGTCAATTTGAATTTGCATGGTAATTTTCAAATGGTTGGGAAATTATTGACAAAAGCCATTTGGAATACATGGTATTTCTATATCTTATTAGTTAATAGCACTTTAAGAATTAACTATTGCTGTTATAGATATTGCACATACTTTTTTTTTTTTTTGGGCTTAAAGTTTTCTACATCAAGTTTTTTCTCAATAAATCTTAATTATTATTTGAAAATCTTAATGGAGGTTCCGCGTGGGAAAAAAAAAAAAAAAACCCAAAGAAAACATGTGTGTTGAAGAGTCACATAAGATTAGATCAGTGTCTTTGTCAAGTGCTTCCTGTAAAATTATCACCATTGATTTTTTTAGTGGCGATCATTTTGTTAAGGCAATACTTTGAGCTTATCTAACTCGCATTCCATGATAGTGAATTTTTTGAGTTTTTTTTTTTTTTTTTTGGTGTTTATTGTTTCGTGTTTGTCCTTAACCAATCATTGCAACAAACTGGAGTTCAGGAATTTGTTTTCTTGAGAAAAACTTTTTCTTTTTATTTTCTAAAAAAGCGTGACAAGGTTTTTTTTTTTTATTAATTATTTTTTTTTTTTAAAGAAAAACGAAATGAAGAAAAACATCCGGGATCTAAAGACGTGCTTCATTGAGGGGGTAATTCCGCAATATTATAATGACGATTCCCTAGCGAGGTTGTTGTTCTTGGATAGGTGTAGCAGTACTACAGTTTATACCAAGTTATGTTTCGGAGAAGATTGAAATTATGAGATTATAATCATTTTTAATTTATGTGTATTTTTTATAAAAAAAAATACTGTAACGAATCATGAATCATGATTCAAATCATGATTTAAATTCTCTAACCAAACGTCCTCTCAATATCAATAGCACTCAAGCAGACTTCATCCAGCAGGATTTGTTTTTGTTTGAAAACCAAATCCCCTTTAAAGTCCTTACACCGTTGATGGGCGTGATTGATATGTGTGGAAATAGGAATTTCTTCAATATGGGAGTAGAAAAGCCGTCCTTCCGCTACAAGGCTAGCATTATCCAATTCGTCCATGAGAACGACATTTGCGCCACGAATAATGCGTTCAATTATTACCGCAAACGAGATTATCATCAAATGATTGGTATGCTCGAAAAGATAGAGCCGGTTCACCTTCTTGACCTTCTACAGAAGGTATCAGTATTTGGCAGTTCAAGGATGTTGAGTATGAGATGATTAAATTAGTTATTATGAAACAACATTTATAAAATAAGAGATTTAAATCTTTATTAAGATAATTGGAATAACCTCTAAAAAGGGAAAATTTAGAGAAATGCCCTCCTGGTGAGGAGCTTACAAAATGTTAAGAAAATGACACAACATTAAAGAAGTTAATTGAAAAGAGCACGGCCGACCTCAATGTTGGCGCTTTAGGCCTTTCACAGGATGCATGCTGGGCTTTAAAACTTGGCACGAATAATGCATTAAGGATTCGTTTGGTATGAGCATTCAAATCATAGTTATTGACGGTGAAATCTCGTCAATAAAAATAGGTCCGGTCACCTCTAGGTATTCCGTTAGATTACCGGCTTGATATTGATTGTATACTTAATTTATGCAATGAAGTATTTGTTGTATTTTTAGAATGGTGAGCAATACGAGAAAGAATGCTTGAAGTAGAAGAACACACGAAATTTATAGTGATTCACTTTGTTAATGAAGAGCTACATCCACTGTAGTTTTATATTCCTTTTGAGATTGTTACAATTTACATCAATTGTTATTCTCTTGTTTTTTCTCTCTCAGGAAGCCAACCTCCTTCCTGTATGGGGCTTTGCCCCTTTTATAGCCGAGCTTCCTTCATCGGGTGGGTCTCCTTTGTAGGCAGAAGCACTCAAGTAGTCTGCCTTTTTAGGCCAAGACCGTAGTCCACTAATCACTTTGTGAACTGTTCACTCAGCCAATTAGTCTCCTATTACTGCTCTGTGCGTACCTGTAATCATTTTCTGTCCCCCGTAGGGCGGTTTAAGGGTTTGTAATTAATGCTTGCACTGCACACATCCCCCATTTCTGCACGCAACTTGCAATGTCAGGCTTTTCCCTTTTAGGGCATTCCTCTCGCCGTCTCTGTTTGCTCAGCCTAGTCTTTCTTGGCAATTGATTTTCTCTCGAAGGATTTTCATCGTAAGGTCGACGGTACGACCTGTTGTCGTCATGAGGAGTCGGCGTCCTAAGTTGGGCTTCCTTTGCAGCAGATTGAAAGGGAGTCCCCAGCGTCGAAGGTTGTTGCCTTTTGAGGAAAAGCAAGGCCACGTGTCACACCGTTGTTCTTCCGCGCGTCATCCACATTTTCCCACACAACAATAGTGATTCTAATTATGATTTTGAAATCAAAATTATGATTTTGTGATTTTGTGTTCAAATCATAATTCTGAAATCATGATTCAGAATCAGGGGTTTGAATTACCTTGAATCAAGAGGGGGGTGGTTATATAATCATAATTTGAGCTAGTTTAAAATATCACATCAGATTTCGAATCATGATTCAGAATCATCCAAACCAAATACTGATTCAGAATCACTATAAATAAACACTGATTTTGAACAACGATTTAAAATAATAATTCTGAATTCACCCTAAGTTACGTCTGAAATTACAAATCTTTCGCAGCCATTAGCCATCTTTAGTCGCATTCTTGACTAACCCTCCCACAACATCAGTCATTTACATCATTTCACGTGTAGAATTTGATAAATATCCATATTCGTGTATTGTTCATTTATGACATTTAGTCAAATGTGATCGTTCCTAATTGATCCTGGAATACTTATAAGTTCAATGATTGAGAGTGACGGTGGTGTTCTTTTTTTTTTTTTTTTTTTTTTTTAAAAAAAAAAAAAAATTAAAAAAAAATCAAAGATAATGATTTAAACTCTATAAATTTTAAAACAAAATTAGTGTGGATTTATCATTGAATTTATGCAGGGATTATTATTTTAAATATTTTTATTCAGGCATCCACAATTTGTGTACTGCCTATAAAATAACGAAACGTGTGGCATGGAATTTCCTACAGTTTGTTGTACCGGTTTGGCAAATCTCGGCAAGCTTGCTTGAAGCAGTAAGTTTAATATTCGGGAGAAATTCCAATAAGCTTTTAATATTCGGGCAAAAGAAAAAAAAAAATGCAATAAGCTTATTGTTTGATTATCTTAATCAGTGCCTCTGCAAGTGGCCTAATTGCCTAATATTGTGGATCAATTCATTACGATTACTGTGTATAATACAAATTAAATAATTCATAAATGAACAAAGAAACTTCTTGAAGCGTGCGAATATAGAGATTTATGCAATCAATTGAGCTTTGGAGAACAAATATATAATATCTCTAATCTCTCTCTATCTCTTACAAATCATATTTTAATTCGCTATGCAAAATTAGTCAACCGACTAGGTAACCTAATCTATGTACATGTGTAAAGAAAAACAATCTATAGACATGTGTTCGTTTATGATTCCCACCAATCTGAATCGCATTATCAATCATGAGGACTTAAAATTAGTTGGGTAAATCAACTGCGGTCTTATTTATTTTACCGATTTGAATTTTATTACAATAAAAAGTTTATAAAAACAGTCACATTTAATTTTTTTGTTACAATAAAAAGCTCTCACGTAAAGTCACATATTAACTCGAATTAAAAATTTAAATCAGCGAACTAAACGGATACCTTCTCATGGGGTTAGAATTCTGAAAACTAGCCTAAATGCGGCTTCAGATTTCAACCCTTCAAACTCCCTTATTGAGACGACGTACATACACTAAAAAGAAAAAGAAAAAAAAAAACCCTAACAAAAAAAGAGAGTGAGAAAGAAAAATTACCTTTTAAAAAAAAAAAAAAAAGAGATTTCAATAAGCTATTGAATATTATTTAGCCGTTACAATCTAAAATTTAATAAACATAAAGCATAAGATTAGATGAAACGAAAAGCTATCTTGCTATCTGAAAGGCCAAAAGACAACGACAAAAACTTTAAAATTTGCGACTAAACGAGTTTCCGTGATTCACAACGACTACGTGCTCTAATTATTTTTTTAATGGAAAAAAAAACTCTCAGCCTTCTAAATTTATTAAATAGCGCGAATAAATATCCAAAACTGGGTATAATTCAATTTTTAAATAAAAATAATATACATTATTAGTAAAAAAATTTAAAAATATACTTAGCATAAAATAATATATAATAAAAGTATATATACATACACACGTTAAAAATAGTAAATTTAACGTATTTGTATTAATTTTCAAAAATAGGTGGATAAAATATGCCAATAAAAAAGGAATTCTTTAAAAAATTGTAACTGTCATCTAAATTTTGTTTGACAGGTCATAATATTACATTTTTTTACTAAGAAATTATCAAATAACAAAATATAAATGTAACAAAAGAAATATGTTGAGATCAATAAATTATATTTGAAAAAATATAAACATTTAAAAGATAAATATGATAAGAGGTAGGAGGTATTTAGAAAATGGAGACAAATACCTTTTAAAATTTAATGTCTGAATTTTTATCACTTACTCTTGATTGATATTTTTTTAGTTAAATAACTATAATAATTAAAAGAGTATTAATCAATAACAAGACGTAAAAGCACTTTAAAAGTAAATTTAATAATTTTTTCAAGGTATATTTTTACGTTGCCTCTACATCTAATATGTATAGTTTAAATTCTAGCAACAAAAATAATATATATGTAAAATTTTATAGTTCAAATTCCTCGGTTGAGAATTAAAGACTAAAAAAAATAAACTATCCAGTAATTTATTACTTCTCAACCTTAAATTTGTATATTTTTTTAAATTAATATAATTTTAATTAAATTTAACGGTTAGAAATTAATTCTGACGGGTGAAAGTCTTTTTTTTTCTTTTTTTATTAAAAAAAAAAAACTCACCCTTTTCCCTTTTTTTTCTTCCCCCTTTCTTAAATAAAAAGATGCATGTAAAATTACTAACTAGGCGATCCAAGTAATCAACCAAACAAATAAGCAGCCAAACCAAGAGACAAACAGGGCACCTCGCGTCTATCGTCACCGTACTTTGTTTATACGTTTGTCCTATATAAGAGAATCGTATGCATACGCACACACCAATAACAACACAAATTAAAATACATCCATCTTATTTTCGATATATATATATATATAGATATATATCTTCAACCTCCTCCCTCTCTGACACAGTCCCTTTATATTCCATATCTTTTTAGCCCCTTTTGCTATCTATCTATCTTGTTCAGAACTTGGGTCAAGTGAATTGGGCATATTTTCCAGATGGGAAGCGAGGAAGCAAACGCGTTCGATGCAAAAGACGCACCGAAGATTGCGGGAGAGCTCCGAGAAAGCTTTGCTTCTGGTAAGACTCGGAGTTACGAGTGGAGAACTTCGCAGTTGAAGACCATCTTGAAAATCCTTGATAATCACGAACAAGACATGATCCTGGCCCTTCGTTCTGATCTCTCCAAGCCCGAGATGGAGTCCTACATCCAAGAGGTCTGTCTCTCTCTCTCTCTCCGCTTTTTACATTTTTCTTTCTAGTTAATAATTTTGTTGTTCACTATGATTTACACAGAATCAAGAAAAGAAAAGGCAAACAAACAAACCAAAAAAAAAAAAAAAGTTCATAGAAAAAATTCCGGTTCAATTTTGCCTGTGCGTCACCTGCGTAGTAGGGCCATTATTGAAAAAAAAATATCATAAAAAAATTGTGGTTTTTTTTTTCAACACTTTTTTTTTTTTTTTAAATTCCCAATCTTCTCAGTCGTAAAGAATGAAAACTGGAGTTTGTTTTGGGATCTGCTTTTGTCATTTATCAGTGACTTCCCACGTCGCAGGAATCCCGCAAACTGGATCCAATTAATTTCGCCTGACTTCGCGCGCATCCACGTCGCGTGGTAGAAGCTTAATTTCAGTTCACTTCAAAACCTTTTCTCTTTACGTAACCGCGAAACCTCAATCCGTCGTTCGGCTGAAATCGTCGTGCGAATATGGCGGCGGGGGGTGGTGAAGGAAGTGAGAGAGAGCTTTGAGTCCGGTAAGACTCGGAGCTACGAATGGAGAGAATCACGAGGTCCCACAATCCCTTGGTCGTCTTCTTTTTTCTTAATGATTAAATATTTTGCGCTTTTTTCTTTTAATAATTGACATCAGAAAATTCGACATGACGGCTCATAAATACCCAGAAGGAATTGGGTAATTTTAATCATTTATTCAGCGTGAGTTGTATGAAGTGGTTTTGTTCGGTATTAATATCGAGAGTGAATAGCCCAATTCTCTTTGACCTTTTGATACAATGATATGAAATGTGATTTTGTTCTGTTTGGGAAAAACTAGTCTCGTACGTTTGGCTATTAAATGCTCTGGATGAATTTGTTTATTACACAACTTTTGATTGATTGGGGTGATAAGAACCCAGAATTTATTGATATATAGGCCATGTGGGGGTTTTGATGGCAAGGCACGAACCACTTCTTTGTGTTCGTGTCAGCTTCCCGTTGTTTGTTATGCTCAGAGAATTTCTGAGTTTCATTTAATTTATATGATTTCTCACGGTTTTCTGATTTTATGGCTGTTCTTGGATGGGTTCACTTTGAGGAGTGTCACTTTTTGGCGGCATATTTGAGTCTGAAACTTGGGTTCATTTATATGCTACCCAACAAACTTTTTCATATGTAATTGGGGAAAGGGCATTTATTATGGAAACTACTTGGCCTTTTCAAACAATAGAGTTTTAATATGTGACTGTAACAAGGGCATTAAACCTTTCATGATGTGGGTGACCTTATCTGTCCATAGCATGCGACTTTTATGGGGCTTGTGCTGATGTGAATTGCTTAGAACTGCAAATTTATTGCCACAGAAAGAAAGGTGGTCCAAGTCACTTTTGCAGGAGCTTAGGGGCTGCTCTTTTTACAATCTGAGTTAGAGAATTTGAGTTGAAAAGTGAATTTATGTGAGAAAAAACGCTGTAACAAAAAAGTTGAATTTGAATTTTTGTGAGAGAAAACATTGTAGTTAAAGGTTTGAGTTTTGATTTGAGTTGTGAAAAGATCTCGTTAATTTCTTATTATCTGGATATCGTGGGCAGTAATTGTTCTTTTGAGTTGGTGAGGAACATTCTTTGACTGAATTCTCATGTCACAAGTATGATAAAATTGCATTTTGTAGGATAATAATTGTAGAAAAAACTTCTAGAGGGCCATAGTTTACGATGTAAATCAACAACTTACCATGCTCACTCTTTTGGATCATAATGTTGGAGGTTGTCGTTTGGTTCCCTTCAAGAATTAGTTTCTTACTGAAAGTTTAAGCTTCGTAATTTCCCGACATAAATAACCCTTTTCCTACATTAAACGACACAAAAAGATTGTTAGCCCCCTACTGGTTCCTGTGTCTTTCAGTTATAATCCTATTCCTTACATGTTTAAGATGATGGCTAGGTGCAAGATCAATCGTTTTGAGTTTTCTATGAGGACCCTTAACAATTGAACTCAACTGGTAGAGTGCTTTATGTGAATGGTCTCAAATAATCCATATCCTGTACTTCTTTGTAATTTGTATCTTACTTTATATATGGTGTGTATTCTTTTTTTGCTCCCTTCTAAATTTGTTTCCCATGTTTACCGCACAGATAGCTATGTTGAAAAACTCTTGCAAAGCTACACTTAAGTCACTAAAGGGTTGGATGGTACCGGAGAAGGTACGTGTTGTCAGAAATTCGCTGCTGAATAGAACTCTGCAATACAATCTTTACATGTACTTTTTCAAATTCAATTCAGTATTTGCGTTCTATTGCAGGCTAAAACTTCAATGACCACTTTCCCTTCATCAGCTGAGATAGTGTCTGAGCCATTAGGCGTCATATTAATCATTTCAGCATGGAACTATCCTTTCTGTATGTCGAAATTCTGTAGTACTCTCTTTTGTTTTCGCATTGAATCTCTAGAAATTACATTCAACTCATGATTTTTCTGTCTTCACAAAATACTGATTGTGTAATCTCTGGTTTATTAGATTTGTCCATAGATCCAGTTATTGGAGCTATTGCAGCTGGTAATGCTGTTGTCCTTAAACCGTCAGAAGTTTCTCCAGCCTCATCCGCATTGCTTGCTAAATTATTAAAAGAATACATGGATACCTCTTGTGTAAGAGTTGTTGAGGGGGCTGTTGCTGAAACAGCTGCGCTGTTGCAACAAAAGTGGGACAAAATATGTTACACAGGTTCTCTCGAACTTTCCACTCATTTTCTTCTCATCCTGTATGATCTTGAAATTTTTGCAAGGTATGTAAACTTGAACTTCAGACAGATAATATCTTGAATTTGTAGGAAATGGGAGAGTGGGTCGCATTGTGATGGAGGCTGCTGCAAAACACCTCACACCTGTTCTTTTGGAGCTTGGAGGAAAATCTCCAGTTGTCGTTGATTCAGACGTTAATTTAAAGGTATTCAAAATTTGAAATCTTCCATGATGCCAAGTATTATGCTATACGTGCTTTTGTCATTTCAAGTTTGCAACTCATGCAGTAACTTTCTATGTCAAGGTTGCGACTCGGAGGATAATTGCAGGCAAGTGGGGCTGCAATAATGGGCAAGCTTGCATTTCTCCCGACTACATCATAACAACAAAAGATTTTGCTCCCAAGTTGGTAAGGTTCCTGATATTATTTATGCCACTGCAGGTCTAAATTGGCTTTCCATTTAATTCATTTCGTCCAATTTTAATTCTTCAGGTGGATTCCCTGAAAGAGGTGTTGGAGAAGTTTTATGGGAAGAATCCATTAGAATCCAAAGATTTATCTCGCATCGTTAACTCCAACCACTTTGCTCGCCTGATGAAGCTCTTGGATGAAGAGAAGGTTTCTGGAAAGGTTGTTCATGGGGGTGAAAGGAACGAAACAGACTTGTAAGTTCAGTTGTTACATGCTTATTGTCTTGTTTGCCATTATTCTATATCAGCGTCAATAGTGAGCAATGTCTTTCCTTCCAACGCAGGAAGATTGCCCCCACCATCTTACTAGATGTCCCGCGAGATTCGTTGATCATGACTGAGGAAATATTTGGCCCATTGCTTCCAATTATCACTGTAAGAATCAATAGACTCGGGTCCATTATAATAAGTTCATGCCTAAAAAATTTCAGAAATGCAGCATAGAAGGACGTGCTTGTTCATTATAGTCATGTAGAACTTGGAGATTGTTTAGCAAATAGAATGATTTTGTTTCTAATACATTCTAACGCTTATCTATGAGAAAGTACCATTCAATTACAAATTCTTATTTGTTTTTCGGAACAGGTTGAAAAAGTAGAAGAGAGCTATGATATCATCAACTCAGGACCAAAGCCCCTCGCTGCATATTTATTTACCAGCAATGAGAAGCTTAAGAAGCAGTTTGTGATGACCATTTCCGCAGGGGGTGTGGTCGTCAACGACACTACCATACATGTGATATTCTTTCTTCAATCTCTTGCACAAACCTTGTACACGTGCACTTTTTTATTTCACACATGAATTCGATTTTCTGCTAATCAGGGCAAAGTGACACATGGGGGCTGCCAAATAGTAGAATGGCAAAAAAGTTTGATGTTTCATTAGTTCGAACTTTGAATGTGTTCCATCCTTAAAATTAATACAGGTTGCTTGTAGCAAGATATTGCCATGTACAAAATCGGTACATGATTAGTACTTAGTAACCGGCAACACACAAATTCGATCTATAAATCCTTATATCCTAGTAAATCTATTTTCAAGATCTTGACACATGATGCTTTTTGGTGCTGCAGCTTGCGGTTGTTACACTTCCGTTTGGAGGTGTTGGGGAGAGTGGAATGGGTGCTTATCATGGGAAATTTTCTTTCGAGGCTTTCAGCCACAAGAAGGCGGTTGTTTATCGAAGCTTTGTTGCTGATGCAGCGGTCAGGTACCCGCCGTACACAAAAGGGAAGCTAAGTTTGCTAAAGGCTCTGGTCGGAGGTAGCATATTGGGCATAATACGTGCTTTGTTTGGTTGGTCCTAAATTTAGTTGTTGTGCCCGTTCTATTTTTCCTTCGCATTATAAGGTCTCTCTCTCTCTCTCTTTGTAATTTGTGTTTTTATTTCCAACTTAAAGAAGGTTTGATTTATTCTGAAAAATAAAAATAAAAATTAAATATGCTATATTGTTTATGCAATAGCGTGAGCCATGTTGAAGTTACCTAATCTTGCAGCTTCGTCAATATCCTCAACCGATTTATAACAATTCTTGAAGAAACCCATCTAACATTTGATCTCCATGCACCTAAGTTTTCGTATCCTAAAATAGTTGGGCCAACTTTGGCATTAGTTGGTAAGGTTCCAATTATCCAGACTTGGCAAAGCAGGTGGATTTTTCTATTTCAATTGCTACAACAATACTTGGGATGCAATTAACCTGTTTTTAACCATAGAATACCAATAATCTAATAAACTATAATTAACTATAGGCCGAAACAAGCCAGCCTTCTTTTGGTTTGCACAAGCAATTTCACAAGTGTTGGACGATGGAAAACTTGATTTGGGACGTAGAGTTTCAATGGTATATTTTATTATTATTATTCGTCCTTTATATCCCTGAAAAATAATTGCACATTAGAGTTGACTTATTTGTTAATTAACCGTATATATACATATCTAGATAAAAGTGCCGGGGGGAAAAAAAAAACTGTTTTATATAAAAACACAATAGGAAACAATCTCTAGTTCCTACCATAAAAACTAATAATAGCAATAATTAAAAAAATAAAATCAACTTGTTTCTTGCAATATGCTAAGCACATCTGATCTCTGTTCATCTGTCAATTGGGTTGGAAAATCAACTAGGAAAGCGACTTTCAAATTCCCTCTCCTTCCATCTTGGTCTTTAGGGATCGGCATTCCTCGGCCATGGATGATCTTTTCAAAACCAGGATATATTATATCGTCAATACTCAAGCTCATTTTGTCCCCACCCAAGAGAGGAATGGAAAGGCTACAACCAGTTAGAGCCTTCACCAAAGGGATTTTTATGGCTAACTCCAAATCATCTCCTTCTCTTCTGAACAATTGGTGCCTTTTCTCGGCTATCACAAATGTTATGTCAGCTGGGCTTGTCCCAAGTTTCTCATTTCCCATTCCTTCAAACGTGATTTTCGTCCCACTTTTCCATCCAGGTTTCACTTGTATAGTTAACAACTCCTCCTCTTGGACTATTTTCCTGCAGAATCAAACCAATTGCATGTAAAAAACAAATGTTTTTAATCAAATATTGAAAATGCACTTAGTGTTTCTTGATATTATGTTAATTTAACGTGTTTTAATTATTTGTAAAAATTTATCTTTAGTATGTCAATTATCAATGTCGAGACCAAGTGAAACTAATGATATTTATTTGTACATACCAACTGTCATGAACTCGTACACAGAAACAGTAGCGGAGCCACTTGAAGATGAGCGGGGACAGCCGCCCCCACTTAAATTTTTTTAAAAAAAATATGATCTTTAAAAATTTTAAAATTTTATACTTATGCCTCCACTGAAATAATATATGCCCACACTAAAATAAATATATTTTCTTATATGACTCACTAAGATAATTTGTTAAACAAAATTTAGTATACACTCCTACTGAAGAGAAAGGTTGGCTCCACCACTGCATAGAAACACTTTTTAGATAACAGATATTTAATGAGATGTTTGTCAAAAATTGAAAATTATTCTAGCTAACTCTTTCACGACTTATAGTTAAAAAGAATTTTCCTCGCAAAAACCCTTGTTTTTTTCCTATTAGTGACGCACATCTAAAGAAATATTATGGCTAGGGAACGAACCCGTTATGTTTAACCACATCTCTTGTGATTTTGATCTTCTTTTGGCATCCATAACACAACTCCTCAAGCGTGCACTTGAGCTTCTTTTCGATTGCCGGCGGTTTCAACAACCCGGAGGAGTTGGAGAACAAGATGTTGTTGGAGTTCCGACGGCTCAGATTTTTCCCAAGAAAGGGCAGGGATAGCGGCGAAGAACCGGTACTGCTTTTTCGGCTGATGCTTCTCATTTGAGGGGTGGAGTTTCTTGGGAGAGGACTACAAGACATGTAACTGAAAGGAAAACAATTGTCTGCGCTTCGGTGCTTGTAGATACTGTTGTTGCCTCCTCTAGAGCTTCTAGGGCTTGTTTGATCATGATCATGATCATGTTCACCATGGATGTTCTGGCTGTTGCATCCAAAGCTATGAACTCCGTTCATGATTTTTCCTTTCTTTTGTTTATCGTTAATACCCTGCAACTCCTGAAAATAAAATATTTATTTTATATATAGAAACACGAAATGGGGTTTTTCTCATATTTATGCATGCATGCATGCAAGACATGAAACTTACCGATAAACACGTACATAAATTTATGTAGAAAGAGGAGGGGCGGGGGTGTGTGGTGGTGGGTTTTTGGGTGGAGTGCATCCTTTCTTCCCAAATTACAAAGCTACTGAAAAATTTTGGAGATTTTCCTTAACAATTTTTTTTTTTTTTTTTAAAAAGAATATTGGGATATTTGTACACTATCTTTTATGTTTGGAAGATTCACTCAATTTTTTTTTTTGGACACGGAAATTTTATTTAATAATTAAATAGATACAAATTATAATATAATCGTAAATGACCACAAAATACAAGAATATTTGACCATGAATAAAGATTGGATCCATTAGTGAAAGATGAATATGATAAAAAGATGAATACGGGTGTCAAGATCTAATGGAGAAAGAGAAACTTAGCACATAAATATGTTAATTAATTGTATCTTGAGGTAAAGATAGCAAAAAGATTATGTGCATATATATGTATTGGGTCAATATGTTTACCTCAGAGATTCCCTTATTATTGGCTTTTAATTGAGCAACTTCGGCTTCCTTAGAAGATGGTTTCTTATTGTGGCGGCATTTTCTGAGAAGGGCTTTATAGGTGTTACAGAGTTTTGCAACGGAGGCTATGCCGAGAACGCGAGGAGAATCCACCATGAGAGAGAAAGAGAAGAAGAATCAAGAGAGAGAGAGAGAGAGAGAGACTTAAGCCCGAGAATAATAGAGGAAAGGGGTACTGACTACATCCACAAGATCAAAGGTGGTGGAAGGTTTAACCAAATATGGAGCTTTTAAGATAACGCCTTTTATTATTAGCTGCATAATCCGTTGAAGGAGATAGAGGGGCCGGTTCGTTATTTTATTACTCTTGAGTCTTGTTCTCTCTCTTTTTTTTTTCTTTTCTCTCTCTCTCTCTCTCTCTCTCTCTCTCTCTCTCCCCTTTTAGGATAGATACAACATGTTGCAACTCATGAAAAATGAGCAATTATCAATACAAAAAATTCATGAAAATTAACCAATGATTAATGCTATATCTCATAAAAAAAAAGGAACGTACTATTTAATGCCTATTGTTGTGCAAGAACCATCTTTTCATCTTAACACGTTAATTTGTGCATATGCGAAAAGAAACAAAAAAAAAAATGCTATCAAACATTTTTTTTTATAAAAAAAAAAAAGTAATTAAGGTGACAGTTTGAGTGTACATAAAGTGGTGGATACAAGCACAACGACATATCGAGCAATCTATGCGCTAAGCGTATAAATTGGGGTCATTGCCAATCAACGAAAGATGACTGATATGAAGAAAATGTGGTTTGTAAACAGAAACAAAAAATTGCTAATATTAATGCAAAACAGTACTATATATAAGCCATCAATCGGATATGTAGGCTGTTAGATGTTTGACTTGGATAATCGTTCAAAAGAGGTCAATATGATCTGATTCTGTTGCTTTGCCTCGCTGGAATGGTAATTAATTTTCTGAATATATATATTACTTAATGAATTAATTCTATAAAACTTTAAATTATTAAAGTGATAGAGGCATGATTACCTTTGTTAAATTTCAAAGATTTGTTATCAATGGTTTGGAACTAAAATTGTTAAAAATAAAAATTTAAGAGACATTACCGCGAGAAAACTACATTGAATTCAAAAAATGATAGCGACGTTATCTTAACAAGACAACCTTTCAGAAATAACAACATTATGTTTAGAAGAAACAATATCGCCAGAAATGATATTGAATTTCATACAGAACGATATAGTTACACTTACAATACGACATGTTAGTTTGAAGCGACAATGGCAACTGCCAAACGACATGATTCTATAAAGATTATGAAAACTTCCAGACGACAATATAGCAATAAACGACGACTTATTTAGAAGGGACATCAAAATTTTAAACCATATATTTAAAAAAAAAAAAATATATACATTATCTGAGCAAACGACAATATTGATAATGGCTTTCCAAGTTTTGAAGACAAAACATCTTAAAAGACAAAATTACCCTTAAGAAAGTCAACATGGAAAGAAAACGACAATGTTATAATTGCAACATAATATTATTTTAAATGATAATGCTATGAATTTTAAGTTATTTATAAAGATTTGTATTAACTAAACTGTGACAAAAGAATTGTTAATAACAACTTTTTATAAATGAATTCATCAATCCAAGATAACCATTCCCCTAAAAAAAACCCAAAATAACAATCCACTTAACATATTGTAAAAAAATTGATAAATCAATTCGGATCTCAATATCATCTTTTATATTTTTAAAGGATTGAACGTCACTAACCTTTGAAAACGACGGACTGATAAATTAATTCCGATCTCAATATCATCATTTATATTTTAAAAGGCTTGAACGTCACTAACCATTGAAAACGACAAACTGTTAAAAGAAAAACATCATGTGGAAAGGCCACAATGTAACAACTCAATATATAACTACTTAGTATTCATCTAAACACAAATTACTATTCATCTAGACAAAAAAAAAACTAATTAAAAAATTTTGGTTAAGTTATTTTGTTTTCTTTTACGCCACATGTTAAAGTTTTAATTGGGTGTTTTTTTTAGTAAAATACACGTGTCATTACGTAAATGAATCATCATTTTAGTTTGCCACATGTTCGAATAGTATTTGTAGAAAATAAATGAGTTCATGTGAATCACGATGTAGGGAATCAAACGCTTATAGAAACTGGCCGACAGAACCGTCACGTGTTGCGTTCTAATTGACTGATGAGAATTGTGGCGGGTCCTCCTGATGCATGCCTGCTACACCACTCTTTTTTTCTGCGCATACTGTTCACATGCATATCGAGGCCGTTGATAAGCTTCATGATTCGACGATAAAAATCATTTCTGATTTTATTTTTTAATTATTAATTATTTTATTTATTTTGAGTTAATTTGTAGCCTGATTTTGTTTATTTTAACACCGTTTTGCACCAAATTTCTGATACCGTTCAACTAAAAATACTATGAATAATTTGAATAAAATTAAAATTAAACAAAAATGCACTAAAGTAATATAAAATCACACCAAATTAAATAAAAAATAAATTAAACAAAATGAAATATAAAACACAACAAAATAGTTTTAAAATCATTCTTTCGTATCTTTTACTTCATATTTTTTTTCTTACTTTTGCCTTCCATTTCTTTTATGTCATTTTTTCTTTTTTTTTAAACAATAATTTATATTTATGTCATTTTTTTCTTTTTTTTAAACAACAATTTATATAACTATTATTTTAAATGAATAACGCGCGCTTCAACTAATGTTAGGATAAAGGGAAAAAATCAACGTCAACAACTGGAAATGGCAAGATCTTATCAAAACAAACTCACCGGAAGAAAATTTACATCAACTTCTAAGTTAAAATCACTTGAAAGAAGATAGCATGTTTAACGGACGGCAGTACACGGAATCAACCTTATGAAAGAATGCAATATCTCAACAAATGTCAAAAACGATCATAGACTTTCGCAACCGACAATACAACATGGAAACGACAACATAGTTCAAAACAACATTATAACGTGATTCGTGAAACGACATATTTCATAACTAGAATATCAAATAACGACAACAACTTTTTAAAACGTTATTGTTTCAACAAAAAATAAATAAATAAATAAAAGAAAAGACATAAGAAACGACGATACCGTGTTTTATAGCGTGAGGTTATTATGGACGCAAGGAAGAAATATATGGTACTAAAACCACCAAATAATTCAGGCCAGGTCTTCAAAATATGGCAAATTAAGGATATTAGTGTCAGATTTCAGCTAAACTTCCGAATTCAATTTGGCAATTTATTCTCTTTGACATCTTTTTCTTTTTTCCATTAAAATCATCACCCAGGGAATTTCGGTGTTTTGGACAGTGATAGAGATAAGACAAGTATGCAGGTTAGTCAATGTGCTAGAAAGATTAACGGAAATAGTAAAAAATAGATCAATATGAAAAATTTAAGGGAGTATATAGGTCAATTTTTAGTTATAGAAATTAATAGATCATAACTTGTCAAGTTATGGTTCATAATCAGATAAGTTATGGACAAACTTATTAAGTTATGGATAAAAACCGTGATTTATGGACAATAACTTGTCAAGTTATGGTTTCTAACCAGACAAATTATGGATGAAAACAGTAATTTAGCATATTTATTAACTTATATAAATTATTAACTTATTAATTTTAATTTATCTCAAGTCTTGACCTATTTTCTTCTTTCTCTCAGAGATTAATGGCACGGATGTCTTCTAGCCCAAAAACGTAATACGTAAATCTGTAGTATTATTAAAGTAGATATATAATACATAAACATATACATATGAGAAGAAAGAAAACGAGAGCAAAGAAACGTAGAAGGAGAACATGAATATAACATGTATGATCAATAGAATAAACGGACTGCCTTCAAAAACAGAAATATGAAGGAGTTAGGAACACCGAAAGAGATTAAGGTAGAACTCGTGCTGATAACGTGTTATAAAATAATAGTAAAAGAAGAAGAGAGAGCATAAGAGAAATATGAGAGATAAATAAGCTTTGTTATCTTGCCAGTAAGAAGTATTCATACAAGTATATACCTTTCTCTATTTATAGCTTAAGGATCATAATTAAGAGACCATAGGAGAAGACATAAGTTACATAGGTTACATGCAAAATTAAGAGAGGAGTTATGGAGAATAATACAAAATATTAAGAGGAGAAATAATGAGATCTAAATGAGTGACTTAATATCTATTTAAGTTATGGAATACCAAGATATGACATCCAATATAATTGATTTACAACAACAACAACTTTTTAAAACGTTATTGTTTCAAAAAAAAAAGAAAATACATAAGAAACGACGATACTGTGTTTTATAGCGTGAGGTTATTATGGACGAAATATATGGTACTAAAACCACCATATAATTCAGGCCAGGTCTTCAAAATGTGCTTAGAAAGATAAGACAAGTATGCAGGTTAATCAATGTGCTAGAAAGATTAATGACATGGATGTCTTCCAGCCCAAAAACGTAATGTCCTACGAGAGAGGAGAAAAAAAACAAAGGTCGTTTTTTTTTTTTTTTTTGGGTGCTTAAATCAAAACACAGAAAAGATGCTTTTTATTTTTGGGATCAAAACAACAAAGCTGCCCCAAATGATGCCCAAAGAAAAAGAAATCACCAAAATTAAATAATAAATCAAGTAAAACGTGGGACCCCTTTGGTGAGTTGCTTTTCTTCATCCACGAAATTTTCCCTTTTTAAAAAAGAATAAAATCCACACTTGGAATGACAAATTTACCCATTTTGAACGAGAGATTTCAACGTGAAATGAAAGGCGAACTCATCAGTGATTCCTACTTTAGAACCCTACTCAGATAATATGTTATGTAATGTCAGGATGTGTTGATACGAGTAAAAATTGGGTTTATTTTTTGAATAGAATTGGATCGTATCCTCTACGTTGAGAAATTTGTTAGAGTGATTATTTAATAAAATAAAATTAATAAAATGATATTTTTTATTTTGTATGCAGAACGTAAAAAGTTATTGTTCTTAGTCGTTTCATAATCATTTTTACAAATGACAATTTTTAAAAAATTATTTTAGAAATAAAACTTTCTTATTGAGTCATTTTTCTAGTGAGTCTTGAGATTTTAAATGAACAGGATAAGACGAGATGATGTTAATGTCCTTTAAATTATGTTATTTCTATTAAATTATTTTCATAAATACTCCTTAAAGTATATACCTTATTTCAAAGTATCCTTATAATTTTTTTAAAATACTTCAAAATACCCCCTCAATATATGAAAATTGATTCAAGACAACTTCTCCATTCACTTCCTTCTATTATTTCAACGAAATTACTGACGTGACATTAATATCAACACAATTAAAACATATAAGTAAACTTAAAAACAACGAATCAGTAATTAAAAACAATTGTTAAAGAAATACATAATCTAAAGAAAGTAGGCCGGTGACGGCGCCAACCCAAGTTTACTGTGTGGAGATGTTAAACAAGTGGTGGGATGAAACGAGAAATTCCAATGAAGATTTGACCACTCCGCCTGTATTGTCGTCGATAATCCATGTATTTCTGTCTAAATTCCATCAATTTGGTGTTCGAATTCAAATGGGTCTTCACCAAATACCTTATAGTGACTTTTTCTCTTTCTTTTCTCAAATTAATCCCTTCGGATGATTGCTTTCTGCAGTAGTTTTTGTAAAATTTTGTAGTTTTGAATCATTTTCCATATATTAAAAGGTACTTGGAACCATTTTAAAAAATCAAAAGACATTTTAAATTAAGATACATATTTAAGGATATTTATAAAAATAATAAATTTCTATTTTATTAGTGAAATATCAGGATTTTTAAAGGAACTATAAGGAGGTATTTAATATGCAGTAATCTTAAGGATAAGAATGAGAATCTGTAATATTACCATGTTTGATACAAGAATTATAATTCTTAGATTCTCAGAAAAGTGATTATCATGGGATTCACTTTCTCTCATTTTAAGGTAATTTGAATACCACCTAACATGGTGTTATTTAAATTCCCAAGAATCTCCAAATCATGAAAATCTTATTATTATTATTATTATTATTATTATTGTTATTATTATTTTTATTATTTTTATTATTATTATTATTATTATTATTATGAATCTTCTTCCATGCGAACAATTAAATATAATAATATAATATTCTTGAGAATTTAAAAAAGATTTATGTATAGAATAAAACATAATAATATATTATTCATAAAAATTACATTACCTTCTATTATTTTTTTGAGAATATAATTTTTACTGATTCTCACGTACCAAGCGTAAGTAGGTAAAGAGTGGGACAACCATCAATGCCACTTTTATTCAGCAAAAAATAAAATACAATAAGATAAAAATAGAAGGGTGAAATGGACTTTTCACGTAGTTTGTTGACAGTCAACAGCGTTCTAGAACGGGTTTTGCGCGGTGAAGGTACATATTACGACACTTCCGAGGAAGGAATTCGGCAACTCTCTCCTCTGTACTCTTCTTCCTCTGCAAATATTTCTTCCTCCTTATTCACTGCACTGAAACTTTCCTGTTTTTCTTTATTTTTTTTTTAATTTTTGTTTTTCTCTCTCCAGAACGCGTGGATTCTGTCACGTGCGTGTCTCCGGGGCTAGGGAACCAGACACGCCCACTAGACTTCCATACTTCCCACTCCAACCTCCAAATCAGCTCACAGAATCAGCCACTTTTTTTTTTTTTGATTAATTAATTAATCCTCCACATCTTCTTCTTCTCTATAAAAGGCTTAACTTCTCTTGTTGGATTTCTCATCTAAATCAACAGCAGAGGAGAAGAAATGGGTGGTACTGAGAAAATGAAGAGAAATGAATTGGTGGTTCTTTTCTTTTTTCTCTGTTTCTCAGCGACATTTCAACGCTCTCTCTCGGCCGCCAATCAGCCTCCTCCCAAGAAAAAGCCAGCCCAAACGAAAAAGATTGGATCTTCAGCCGTTTTCCCCATTTACGGAAATGTTTATCCTCTTGGGTACGTTGATTTGGCCACTTCCCTTAGGGATATTTTGTTTGATGATGGTCTTTTTCATAACTTTGTCTTTTATTGATCCTTTGTTTCTGTTACATTATCTATCTTTGTTTTATGGTTGAACTTTCCATATTTTGTTTTATGATGGTGTTTTCATAAATTTCCGGACAGACCTTTTGAATAAAAAAAATGAATTTCCTAATTTGTTTTCATTAATGATGGGTGATATTGATTATTGGATAATTCTTTTTACAACTCAAATCATCTCATATTTTATTATTTTAATATTTTTTTCATAAAAATTTAAATTTAATTTTTTTATTATAAAATTTTCTCTTATATGTATAATTATACTTTTTTTTTCTTATATACGTAATTATATAATAATTTAAGTTGAGAATTTGAGTGGTAACACGAATAAGTATAATCAATTTATTTGACCAATGATGATTTCTACCTGAAAACTATCATGTCTGAAAAAGTTTAGCCAGTAGCCTTTTCTTTTAGACCTTTTCTAACTCATTCGAATATTCCAAAGTCCTCACAGTAGTTGCTCTAGAAGAAGTTGAAAGAGTCACTGCCAATTGATGTCTTTTTTTTTTTTTTGCCCCAAAGAAAAGAAAGTATATGTTCCGGACCTTGCTTTTTCCTTTCTTATCTTTCTTGAAAGAAAAATGGTTCATATTACAAAAAAAAAAAGGTTTGATGACACATTATGAAGCTAAAACATAAATTGTCAAGGGAAAAAAATATGAGACATTAACAATTATTTCGGTTTTATACTTGTAGTACTTTGGCACATGGTGGTGATAAAATATTTGGTTACGTTTGTCATTGCCATTTCTTGGAATCACAAGAAATGAAATTTCACAAATTGTCTGCATAAAATATTGGTTTCAACAGGTACTACTCAGTGTCTCTGAAGATAGGAAACCCACCAAAGGTTTACGACCTTGACATTGACTCGGGCAGTGATCTCACTTGGGTCCAATGTGATGCTCCTTGTACTGGTTGCACCAAGGTAATCTTTATCTTTCTTTATTTTTCTTAAAGAGATTTGAAACGACTAAATCCGTGATTCTTGTTGTTCTCTTTAGTTTTCTGATTAAGTGCTTGTTTGGGTGTGTTTGTGTATGTGCATTTTGCAGCCGCGTGATCAACTTTATAAGCCCAAGAACAACACCATGCACTGCGCTGACCCGATTTGCTCTGCCATCCATTCATCAAATAACCACCCTTGCAAATCCCCGACCGATCAATGTGACTATGAAATCGAATATGCTGATCGTGGATCATCTTTCGGGGTGTTGGTTAGAGACAGCATTCCACTCACATTCAGCAATGGCTCAACTCTTGGTCCTCGTTTGGCCTTTGGGTCGGGATTGCTCTGATTACTCTTCCTTTTGCCCTCTCAATTCAACATGGAGTAGGGAGTAAATGCTAATGTTTTCTGTTTGCTTCAGGTGTGGATATGATCAGACATATGGCGGTCCGGGAGCACCTCCACAGACTGCAGGAGTGCTTGGCCTTGGCAATGGCAAAGCCAGTATCTTGTCACAGCTAACTCAAATGGGTCTAACTCGAAATGTTGTTGGCCATTGTCTTAGCAGCCGAGGCGGAGGCTTTCTCTTCTTTGGAGATGATTTTGTTCCTTCTTCAGGAATCACATGGACAGCCATATCACAAGATTACGTGGAGTGAGTACTCCAAACCCCTTAAAACATATCCAAACATAATTTTCAATTTCACATGCTGTTGATTTTGATATGATGTGCCGTTATTGAGATGTGTACGTGTTACCTGTCACATAGAAACCTATAGATATACATATGCATTTTTTGCATATATAAACCGCACAGTAATCTTAAATTTAAAGGGAAATTCCGCATTCCTACCTTTCAGTAAACACTACGGATCAGGACCAGCAGAACTCTATTTTGGTGGAAAACCTGCCGGCATAAAGGGCCTTGAGGTGATTTTTGACAGTGGGAGCTCTTACACCTACTTTAATTCTCCAGCTTATGAGGCCGTGGTTAACCTGGTAAACAGAAACCGAAGACGACATAATTACTTTATATACAGTATATTTATCAACTCTCTGAAGGAAAGCTAAATCACTTGTGCATGTCTCAGGTGAAGAAAAGCTTAAATGGAAAGCCTCTCAAGGACACGGCCGAGGATAAATCACTGCCAATCTGCTGGAAAGGCAACAAAGCTTTCAAATCTGTCCAAGACGCCAAGAAATTCTTCACGCCGTTGGCGCTGAGCTTCACCAACTTCAAACACGTTCAGCTGCAGTTGCTACCAGAAGCTTATCTTATAGTCACGGTGAGCTATCCAAACGGTTGTTTTCCCTTTTGCCATTTGGTTGATTGAGATGAGACTTTTGGGAAACATGGCTAACGAGATGTTTCCCTTTCAGAAACTTGGCAGTGTTTGCTTGGGGATTTTGAATGGCACTCAAGTGGGGTTGGAGAATCTCAATATAATTGGAGGTAACACGTTAATAATAGTTACAACGACATGGTGTTTTTTAGGCGTTTCTGCTTCCTATGACAATCTGATTTTCCGTTTGTATAGACGTTTCTTTGCAAGAGAAAATGGTGATTTACGACAACGAAAAGAAGCAGATTGGATGGGGCCCTGTAAATTGCGACAGGCTTCCCAAGTTCTGAACCATCACCTTCGTAAGTTACTTTCTTTCATCTGATTTTGCGGAATTTTCTCACCCTTTTTCCCCCTGTTTTAAACAGTGTGGATGCTGATCATAATGGAGCTTTTTCTCAGCCGTATGCAGTGAATTTCGGTATAGCAGCGGAGAGCTGTCCTGCAACCCGAAGAAAGCTACGACAAGAGCAACACATAAAGTGAAAGGAAAAGAGAATACTCATACCAATAAAAGGAAAAAAGTAGGTTTATGCTATTATATGGGGTCGATGCATACATATGTTGGGTACTTAGGTGATACGAGGTTTTTTGGAATCCTTATCCTCCTCTATAATCTACGGGGCAGGAAATGGAGGCTAGTATACCATGCACATTACAAAGCAATAAAATTTTTGTTAAAGAGGAACTTTTATGTACAACAATTGCACTCCTATCACTCTTGACTCTTTTTGCTAATACACTCTTTGACTTCTGTGGTGGAACTCTTTTTCTACCGCCAGACGTCCAAATTTACTTGCGAGAAAATTGCATTTCCTTGGTCATCTTCGACAAATCGTTCTCAGTTAATACCTCCCTGACTGTACAAAAAAAAATTAACCGCTTAGTACCTGCAAGACGTGCAAAGAAAGTACATTATCATTTTGAGACGCTATTAAAAAAAATAAAAAAAATGCTTGGTTGATTCTGGCCTAAGTGAAGAAAGATAATAAAGATTGTCATTATTACAAACCCATACCGTTGATGCAAACAGGTCTAATCTTTGTTAATATCTAGAATATATGAAGATTATTAATGCTATGTGCTAATGAATTAGGTTAAGGATCAAGACCAACCTGCGATGTTAGTTTGGTGGTCAACCAGAGGCAACGCTACAACAGGCGGCTCGTACACTGCATTAAATTAAGATGGTCAATATAATTATCTCAACCGGAGATATTTTAAGAATTATGTCAGTGCTAGCTAAGGGAACTCAAAAGAGATTTGAATATCCAAATGGAACAAGAAGCGCCCAACATTTAGACTGGTATAATTTGCATTCAGTTTTGCACCATTAAGCTCATTGGAAAGAAAAGAAAAGAGAAATCACCTTTGCGTGGCAAATTTTTGTAATAGCATCCACATGGAAATTCTGCAGTTCTTCAAGAGTCGCCACATCCAAACCGGAAATAGCGTCACCCTGAACATTAAACTTTTACCCTTGAGATATTTCCACTGCAGTTGTAAAATTGAACGTTTATGATGCACTAGTACGTCCAATACAGATGGTTTAGTTTAATTATAAAAACCAAAATTCAAAGAAACTTTTATTCTAGTAACCAACTTTCAGTTCCAAAGGGCATTATTTGAATGATCAGCACCAAAAGTTCCGCAACAGTGTGTGACCCAAAAGTTCCAAGACCCTGTAGTCTAATTACTGCAAACTCCTACAATTCTACGTCTTCAAATTGTGATAGGACTCAGAGAAGAATCAATTGGGATTAGGGCTGAATTATGACTTACTGTTATTATTCAATCAACAGAAATACAAATTCTGACCTACAATTCGAGAGGTAGGTCAATCTCTCCAAAACTCCTAATTACTCCTAATAACTTGACAAAACTCAGCATAAACCTAATTACTTGCTAATGCCCTCTTTATACTAAAGCCCTAAATCCATAAAACACCCAAAAGACTACACTGCCCCTGCCCTCTTATTCCCACGTCTAACATAAGTAATTATGGGCCTAACATTACTCCCCTCCCAAAACGACACCTTGTCCCCAAGGTGGAATTCAAGAAATTGCTGTTGAATTACTTCAAATGGCTCCCATGTTGCCTCGTAATCTGGCAAGTTATTCCATCTAATCAGCACCTCCTTATGACCTGTTGCTCCCCGACGCACGCCTTCTAAAGCGGACGGTTCCATCACCACTTCCATATCCTCTGCCAATGTTGATGGTAACGAAGAAGATGATGTGTGTTCGCCGATCGCCCGACGCAACTGAGATACATGAAAAACTGGATGAATCGCTGAAGAGGGTGGCAACCGCCAACTTCCATCTTTCTTCTTGACCAACAGAATCGGGCTTGAAAATGGACTCACACTGGGTTGTATAATGCCTGTGTCCAACATCTCCCTCACCCTCTCTATTTCATCCTTCTGAATTTGTGGGTACCTGCACAGCCTGACACTGATAGGAAGAGTTTCCTCTTTCAAGACTATGGCGTGTTCATGGCCCCGCTGTGGAGGAAGACCCTGTGGCATTTGAAACACCCCCTCAAATTGGTCTAGGAGCTCCTGTATCGGTTCCGGTACCTCCTCAGCCGTCTCTGGCTACCTTCCCTCAAGACTCTTCAGCCGTCTCTGGCTACCTTCCCTCAAGACTCTGCAACTCCACCAAGAATCCTCCCCCCCCCATCCTTAATCGCCTTCACCATGGTTTTCAATGACACCAAGGTTCGGCACAGACTCGGATCGCCTCTCAGAATTACTGGTTGGTTTCCTACCTGAAATTCCATACTCAACAGCTTCCAATTCACCTTCATCGCTCCCAACGTTTGAAGCCACTTCATCCCCAAAATCACTTCCGTGCTTCCCAAATCCAGGGGTAGGAAATCGTCTAACACTTGAATTCCCTGGAGCAACAAAATCACCCCCTTGCAAATTCCTCGGCTCGTTTCTAACACTCTGGTTACCAAGGTCACCCCAAAACTCCCAGTGTCAGTCAACTGGAGCCCTATCTTTTCCACCACGCGGTTGGAAATGAAATTGTGTGTGGCCCCACTGTCAACTAACACTACCACATCCTGCTCTCCAATCCTACCTTTAATCTTCATGGAATGGCTCGGTGTGAACCCCGCCACTAAATTGAGCGACACCTCAGCCACATCTAAATGCAGGTGTTCTTCCTCCATCAACTCTTCTTCAGCTGCTTCTCCGCCTTTCCTCGTCATCACACACAGTCAGGACTTGTAGTGATCGGTCCTTACATCGGTGCCCTGGGGAAAATTTCTCATCGCATCGAAAGCACAACCCCTTCGCCCTCTTGTCCTGAATCTCTGTCTCAGGGAGGCGCTTGAAAGTCCCTCCCCGACGTACCCCACTATCCCGATCCTTTTGGGTCTCTCTTTGAAATCCCAACGTCTGAGTTTTCTGCCCTCCTGGTGGTGCGCTGTTTTGGTATGAAAAGCCGACTGTGTTGCTCCTACTGACCCGCACCGTTGCATTTTTATCCGCAATCATTTGTGCCAACTCCATCGTCTCTCCTAACCCTCTCGGTCTCAGCAAATGTAGCACCGCTCGGATCTCCGGCTTCAGTCCCTTCATAAAATTTCTTTCCAACACCGCTTCTGAGATTTCCCCTAAGCGACCCGATAGCAGCTCGAACTTTTCCCTATACTCCATGACTGTCTTATCCTGGATCAGGGAAAAAAACTGTTCATGTAGATCTCCCTCTTGAGTGGCTCGAAATCGCTGCAACAACCAGTCCTTAAATTCACCCCAAGTCCTCAATGATTGCCGTTGTTCTCACCATTGAAACCACGCAAGGGCCTTTCCCTCCAAACATAAAGCCGCCGCCATCATTTTTTCCCTCTCTGAGAGTCCATTGATGGCGAAATAGCGTTCTACCCTATGCACGCATCCATAGGCATCCTCGCCCTCGAAAATGGGCATTTTCAGCTTCCGTACCCTAGAATCCGCCCCAAATTGGGTATGCCCGGTCCAATTTCGCGCCATGGGAGGCCGCCATCCTCCCGATTCTCCTCCATTCTCCATAAATCCGGCAGACCCAGCCCCAATTCCACCTTGCCCAGCCGTGATTCCGTCATACCCGCTCCCCCTCTCGCCGGAAATTCCTCCTCCCGGCCGTACGCCCCCAAATCCACCCTGCCCGGGTCCGGATCCGGCCTGCCCAGCCCCAAATCCGGCCTGCCCAGCCCCAGATCCGACCTACCCAGGTCCCGAATCTCCCCACCACGGCGCTGAAACACCGTGCCCAGCCATCCCCAGCCCTGGCGCGCCCCATGGCGGTGCCAAAACACCAAATCCCGTCGCCCCAAACCCTAGGCCGCCTCCTCCAGCCGCGAATCCTTCAGATCTGCCGCGACCCAACCTCCTCCACCGCCCCCAACGCCGGGAAAAGCTCCTCCAAGTTGCGCGTCACCTGGGCCGCCCTCTGCGCCAACAAATCGGCCACGTCCCGCCGCCTCTGGCCGCGCCAAACGGGCGGATTCCAACCCTCCTCCCTCTGCGCCGTCGCCGACCTCGGGTTCCGTACCACCGGACCCTTCTCCCGCCGCGCCGCCGTGGCTTGCCGCTGCTACCGGTGGTGGGTTAAGTTGGAGCTCCGTTAATTTCAGCAACATGGCTTCAAGGGACGAAAATTGTTGTTGGACGGTGTTGAATCGCTCGTCGATGGTGGTCTTGAGCAATCAAACCTCCGCTTCTAAATTCTCTTCTAGCGCGTCCACCTTCCTCGCTGCCATTGTCCCAAGAATTCGCTCTGAAACCAATTGTTATAACCCTTGAGTAGAACTCATCCCCAAAAGCTAGCTTGTAGGGAGATGGTGCTCAAGTGGTTATAAACCCACATGCTAAGCCCATACTTAGCAATGTGGGACTCAACTAGGATCCTAACAAATTGCATGGGTGTTTATCATACGACATTAGGTGCAAACGTGAGAAAAGAATGAACTAAACCCGAATGTACATGTTATAAACAGATAGATAGCCCACACAATATGATGCATACACACTCAAAGCATATACCATGTAAAATCCTTTTGCCACCAATAGGAAAATGTATACTGACAACATGCAAAATCCATTTAGACATGTCTTAAAGCTTCTCACTACTAGAGGTTTGCTAAAAGGGGGACTGCAATGTGCATACCTTCAATCTAGAAATATAGCTTTCTAGCTCTTTGGCTCTTTTCTTTTCTTTTTGATAGTTGGCTCTCAACTCGTCTAAGACACCCATCTTATCCATGTTTTTGCAGATCTCATCATCTTTATACATATCTGAGTGGCCATTGGATGGCAGAAACCCATTTCTAACTCTTGAATGCGAACCATCCGCTAAATGAATCACTTCGGACGGCACATCCTCAGCATTGTTGCTAGACTTTCTCAACTTTGCAACATGCACCCACATATTTGCAAGCTCATTTTCCAAGTCTTCTTCGTGTCGTTTTGCTTCATCTAGTCTTCTCCTCAGATCATCTTCTATTTTGTCTCTTTCCGATAAGGCTTTTTCAAGTGCAGCTTCTTTCTGGCATCTTGCACTAAGCTCCTTCTGCAACTCCTCAAGAATAATTCCCTCCTCTGGCTTTTTAGAGCGGCCATCAGATCGACCCCTATTTATAGTATTTTGCTTAAAATGATATAAATTAGGACTCTGAGAAGAAGTTGACCGGCAGTGACCCTCTTTTGCAGCAACCAATTCACCAGTCAGCTTCGCATTTTCATAAGAAAGTTTGGTTACTTCCGCAGCCAAGTTTCTGAGTTCAACTGCTGCAGCCGCAGCCAACTCTTTAGCATATGATGCTTCCTCTGCCAGTTTCATATTCTGAACTTCAAGCCCGTCCTTTTCCTCAGTCAGTCTAACCCGATCTTGTTTTAAGTCCTCCATCTCAGCAGCCTATGGAAAAGCGACACATTAGGGAACTACTTGATAACAAGGAGAATATGATAGTTTTCACTTGGTAAAATCCAAAAAAAAAAAAAAAACAGAGAGAGAGAGAGGAGAAAGATCATGTAATAGTAAGACAGCATATTGGATTCTCCAACAGAAAAAGATGACTCCAAAGAACCAAAATAACCTGCATATAAATTTGGGGATTGAAGTTGCACTCTTTCGAGTCCTCAAGGGATAATACTCTGTTCAAGCTCATGACGCTTGTTGGTGTATTTTCATCAGCATATGCTTCCCCACATGAAGTAACCTTGCTTTCTCTGGGGTTCTTTTTCAACAGTTCATCAGAAAATATATCGAGTGAAATAGCACCATTGTCAACAACTGTTTGAAAACTACTTGCACTTTTCTCTGATAAAGAACTGAGCTGTTGCCTCAGCAGAAGAATAGTCTCTTGCATCTCAGCATTCTCTGATATCTAAAACAGAAACAAATAATAAAATATCAACAACTCAGTTTCAAAAATAAATCAATAAATAAACAAAGCAATCAACAAGTCAAGAATAGAGAGAGGTCGTGCAGACTTGTAGCTTTACCTTCATTTGTAGTTGCTCTTGTAGTATCCTATTATCTGCAGACTTGATCTTGAATGCTCAACACAAGACAGAGAGATCAAATTAGTATACTATTTTTGGCTTCTGATATTGAGTTACCATTTTTATGGCTGTGAAATAAATATGAAAACAAACCTCCAGCTCAAATGTCTTTTCAATTAGCTGTGTGGTAAGCTTGGACAGGGCCTATACAAAAAGCATAACAAACTAATTAGAAAAAAAAAAAAAAAAAACAAAATATTGTGTGTGTGTGTGTGTGTGTGTGTATAAATTGCTATAGAAAACTTGGAAAACAGGTCATGGTTCATGGTGGATGATATTGAACAATCATATCATCGATAACATGCCAATACAAAAATGTTTCAACAAAAACCAGCCACGATAGATGAAAACAATTATCTAAGTACCTTTATGAAGTAAGGAATGATAATATGATTTTAAATAGAAAAAACTTTTGAAGGGCATTTGATTGAGCTAAGGAAATTATGACAATGGTGTCTTCCTATGAGAGCAACTAAGTATACCTGAGACAACTCAATGCTGTTTGTATGTGGAGTCATCTCAAATGATCCAATCATGTGTTGCTCCAGAATCCGTATTTGAAGCTTCTTTTCACTAATTCCATCCTTCAACTTCCGCATTTTTTCCTGCATTTATTAAGATGACTATCAAATACTCACCAACACAAAATCATATTTAAACAATATACCAAAGAGTAGCTCACCTTAATATGTGAATCTTCAGGGTTGATAGCTGCTTGCTCTGACAGTCTTTTAAGAGAACTTGTAGACAAAGCCACCTCTCCAGCTAACATCTTCACTTGTTCCCGGAAAAGGTCCATTTGATCTGTAATGGTGGTCCCACTCTGCAAGGAATTCATTAGCACGAAAGTCATATTGACTATTTGACACGAAGGCTACATAAACCACCAGTGATCTAATTCTTTAAAATAGGCACAACAAGCTAGAAAGCAATATCTTCTGAAATAGCAATTCAAGAAAAATAAATAACACAGAGAATTCCAATACACCAAGGCTTTGATGATGTTTATATTTCCTTAGAGAATCAGAACGTTGTAATCCCTCGCATCATTATTTACTACTTAATTTTTATAAACCACAAACAGTAAAATATAATTTTATAAAACAAAAACAGCAAAACATTACTAAGCAAGGCTTAAAAAGTACAAGTACAGAAACTAAGCTCTGTAGTGATGTAAGGCTTAAAAAGTACAAGTACAGAAACTAAGCTCTGTAGTGATGTAAAATACACAAACAGACAATTGTTACATTAGTAGCCTTAAATGTATGATATACTGATTCCAAGCGCATGTCAACAAGAGATACCCTCCAAATACCCGAGTTCATAGAGTTTTCGCTTGTATTACATGAGATGGTTAGCTACACAAGCTAGCACCAAAAAGCATACAGAATCTTTTCTTACCGGTGGCAAACGACGATCTCCAACTGCAGCACTAAATAAATCACCTGCTTGAGTTTTTTCTGGAAATGAGTCAACACTGGTAGAATCATCTCCCTTGTTACCGACTGATTTTCTTCTTCCATCTTTCATTTCAGTGAACATGACTCTCTGAGAAGATTTAGAACGAGATGCAGTAGAGCCACTTGCTGAGCTCTCACAATCAGTACTGGGTGATAACCCAGCCATATTCTCAGGTTTCTGAAAAGACAGCAGTTGAGCTTTGTTAAGTTAAGGTTAATCACTGTAGGTATGAACTATTATCTATTAAACCAGAAACGCAAAAATATATCGAGAATAAATTGAAGTAAAGAATGTACTTTCAGTTTAAACCAGTTAAGCATTCCACGCCTTCGGTTCCTTTTGTAATCTTTGACCAACTCATCTAGACTAGTCACGTCATCCCTAACATCCAATGGAATCTCAGACCCATAGCTTCTAGCATCATCATCTACCATGTACTCCCGCTTTTTATCTGGTAAGTATGCCAGCTGCAATGGAAAAGGGATCTAATTGTAAGTCTCAAGGTGAAAGTATTGCTAATGTATTGAAACTATGAGCGGTGACAAATCAATGTGAATCTAGAATTACTTAAAATGCAATGCAACACACCAACAAGGTTCTTAACTAATGGAAACACTAATCACACCTCATCTTCCCCGAAGGAATGCCTTCGTCTATGGCCAGGTTGTTCAGAAATGTTTGTTGGCAATGTATTCTTTGTTGACACCAATATCAGTTTGGTCAATCGCTGAATTCTCCCCATCAAAGCTGCCTTGGCTTCTTCCTCCTCTTCCAATCTCGACTGTAGTTTAACCTGACCGGCTTCCAGCTTTGGCATCATAAAATAGCATTAATTAGAAACAAATAGCAAGTCAACAGTACAAGGGTATCCAAAAAGAAACCAAGTTTATGGGGAAAGCAAAATCTGTCTGCAAAGGGGAAAAGAAATAACACTGTAGCATTACAGAAGACTGCATCTTAATTCACAGTACCATATTACCGTGAACCTTGTTGCTTATACTATCTCGTATTTTTATGCTAATACTTTTATATGTCATACTCAGTATACTAGTAATTATCAGATGTCAGTGACTAGCTCCACAAACCTGCAGCTTCAGATTAACCAGATCTTCTTGAGTAGATGCAGCGACATTTGGATTCTCCATCATGCCACGCTTTAATTGCTCAAGCTCCTGCTTCAAGCTGGAAATTTCTCTTTGATACTTTTTGATGAGAGACTTTTCATCCATAATCTAAGAGGAAACATTAAAGGGGGGAAAAGAATCAGCATCCATTAAGCACATTGTCCTACTAATGACATTTGAGACTCACCTTATTTTGAGAAGCCTTTATTTCTACACGTTTGCTACGATGTGCAAACTTCAGTGTGTTATGTGTCTCCTCACTATTGCTAGAGGCGGGAGTCACTGTGCAAATAAGCTACAATGACATAAGATCATCTCCCAAAATGAGTAATACGCCAAATATTTAAAAACATACAACAATTGCAAAGAGAGAGAACCGATACAGTGAATACTAACTCGACAAGACCGTCTGAAAGTTTCTAGCATAATACTTACAGAAACCCGTCCATGACCGCTAAGGGATGACTGCAATAGACGGGTGAGTTTTGAATCTCGATACGGAATATGTGTTGCTTTTCCATCTGTCAGTTTAGAAATCACCTACACCAAGAGGGAATCAATAATAAATAACACAAACTAAAGAAGAATTACCAATATTGAAAAAGACTACAACAAATAAACATTGGAAAGATACAGTCCTCATCAATTCATTATACATGATGAAAAAACAACAGTCAAGCAAGCTTTGCCAATCAGACTACCAGAAGTACAAAAAAAAAGCATCCAATTTTATTGTCATAAGTATGAATCAACTCTAATACACCCAACCCATAGAGGATTATATTAGACTCTGCAAAGCTTCAAGCATATTGTTATTAATTAATGAGCTTGAAAGTACAAATCTTGTACTAAGATTTATTTAAGTTTACCATCTATCAAAGCAATAAAAAATTTAAGGGGGAATAATAGGTGGGACTTTGGGAATTGCTTATCGTCCATTTAGGACAAAAGATAATTGATTAATCTTACGGTTCCAAGGGTAAGTAAGCTTTTGTTGATGTATGATCCCTCTTTTCTTCGTAATCCAGTTGTTTCAGTTTTAGAACTTTCAGAACCTGCAAGATCGATTAAGTGCTGCAGAGGAAATCTATATTAATATAGATCGGAGCACCACAATGCAATTAAATGAATTATAAAAAAGAATGTATTCAGGTGAACCAGACAATAAGGCGGGGTCCAGGAGAATAGACAGCAGACCATATTTAAAATACAAAGACAGGAGAGATATTACCAACTGGGACAAGGTCACGTCTTCTTCACTGTGATCTTCCCCGTGCAGACTGCTTTCAATAGTCTGAAAGATAATTGTGCATCAGCACCAAGCATAAGTTGTATTAATACAAGGAACTAGTACTTAATTCAGCAAGAATACTCAGCCAGAAAACATTCAAAACCAAAGCTTTAGAACAAAGTTCAAAACTAGTATGCCAAAAAGAGTAATGTTTATTTCTTAAAAAGACAACCAAATCATGAGTTAATACATTATTTAGAAGTTCAAATGGAGCTAAGTCATCGCCTAGAGACGTTCTAAATTAATCTAAGAAAGACAATAATTACCAAGGTGAATATAGTGTGGCTCCGACTACTAAGTAGATTGAAATTATTAGAGCCCACGTGCCTGTGCTCTGCACATTAAAGGGACAAAAAAGACATGTTAAGAGGTGCTAAAAAAAGCTGAAATTACATAAGGGAAAAAACAGGAAAAAGATCTAAAAGAACCAAATTTAAAGGGAGAAAAGGCAAAAAGAACTGGGAGAGAAAGCGACAGAGAGAGGGAACAAAAAATACGTTCATAATCATACTTGCAACAATAGTTATGAAAAGAATGAGGTCAAGGGGAACAAAACAATGTTTCTATTGAGAACATGTAGCCAAATATATGAAAGATTGTCCTTCAGCAAATCCAACATAGAAATAACAATGTTTTCTTCAAGCTTAATACTAGAAAACAGAAACCATAGAATTTACTTACCCTCCCCGGATGCTATAAGTGAAAGAGCATGAGCAGGTGATAAAACAACTTCTTCTTTTATTCCTTCAACGTAGGTTCCCTGCCAAAAGACAAACTATTCTAGTAACAAAACTTTGCACTTGGCACAGCAAATAGTCTAGGAAAAGAGAACCATGCAGACACCAGAAACAGACAGGTAAAAAAGAGTTTCTGAAGCAGCTGATCGGCAGCCTTTCTGTAACGCCCTCCAGAATTAAACATGTTTAATTATGCTAAATTATGAGTTATTAGTGTGCTTAATTTGACTTTCTCAATTAATCAATGAACTTTATATTATTTTTAGTATTTATGATTTCACAATAAAAATTTTTGAAAATACACTTAAATTTTAATGCATTTTCCTTTTTCCCTTTTTCCTTTTTTTTCCCTTTTCTTTTCTTTTTCCTTTTTTTTTTTTCTCTTTTCTTCTTTTTCCTTTCCTTCTTTTCCCTCCCGTAGCTCCTCTCTCTCTCTCTCTCTCTCTCTCTCTCTCTCTTTCTTTGTTTCTTTTCTCTCTCTCTCCTCTGGTTTCTCCCACCGCCGCATCTCTCTCTCTCTCTCTCAGCTTGCTGGCCAAGACCCACAGAAACAAAACAAAAACAAAAACGAGAGAAATGGAGAGAAACAAGTTTCAATCACTTTGAGGTAAAGATTTCTTGAAAACCCACACTTGAATTTGAGTTATTGATTTGAAATTTTGAAATTTTGGTTAGATTTGAATAATTTTGAGTTAGGGTTTAGATTTGAACAATTGTTGTTAGAATTGAATTGAATATGAGGGTTTTCAGTTATTGAACTTGTTGAATTGATTGGAAACTGGTTTTGATGATTTTTGGAGAATTTATTTTGAAATTGAACTTGAATTGCAGGTTTAGCATTTTTCCTATTTATACCGGCATGCTGTCGAAATTTCTTTAAAAACTTGTTTTTAAGCTGAAATTAAATACGAAACCAAACCCATGAATTGGATTTCAATTTTTAAAGAACCCCCAAACTGAATTATAAAATCGTTTGTGAAACTTGGATTTGAGTCAAGGCACACTAATAAGAAACAATTAGACATGATTGAACTTAATTCGTTTTAGGAATGAGAAATATATCCTAAGATATTGCTTTTGTGATAAAGCTAGTGGAGAAGGTCAAGTATTAAAGCTTTAATGCTATGTTTGGTAGGAAGGAAAGAAAATAAGATAGAAAAGAAATATGAAAGTGATGAAAAATAGCAATGATGGAAAGAAAATTGATTTTCTTATATGTTATTTGGTACGAGAAGATGGAAAGAAAATGAGCTTACCTTCACTTGTTTGGTATTGGAAGTTAAATTGGGAGGAAAGAGAAAATCTTACTCGTAAATTACTTTTATACCCTTAAATTTTTTGCTTGGACGTTGATGGAGAAAATGGTAATTTAGTAACTTTGCTCACTTTAATTAGTTGTCCCCATTTTCCATTCCATTTTCTGCCCACTTATTGAAAGAAGAAATATAGTGGGACCCACTCCTTAGTTTTTCCACCTAAATTTCCTTTCCATCCAAACTTCCTTCCTACCAAACATCTCAATCTATCAATTTTCATCCTAAAATCCCTCAAATATTTTCTTTCCTTCCAGTTTTCAATCATACCAAACAGACTGTAAGGAAAGCGGAGGTTAAGGTGACGAGAAGCTAGCTACAGGTTTGACATCCGAGAGGTAGGATATTCTTCTCATATCTTTGTTAGCCTGTTTTAAAGTGTTTTGGCCAAGTAATGTTTTCAAAAGATAAGGATATGTTGATAAAGAAAAGTACTTTCAAGACAATAGCTTGATTTTCGCTATTGATCTCATAATGGATTGATTTAAGTTTTTAATGAACATTTTCTTAAGATATGGAGATCGTATCTTGTGAACTGGTAAGTCCGCTAATAGCCTATATAGGATATGGAGATTGTATCCTTGGGGGCAGAACCCGAAATCCGGACGGGCGACTACAGTGGTGTTAAGGCCTTGCTTTGGTCATAAGTAATTTAATTACTTAAATTACTTGCTGGTTGCCTGTAATCTGGAATTTCAGTTTATTTACCTTTCAAAAAAAGATTGTTTGGTTCCGAATGATTATTTCGGGCCTGACTATTTCATTTTATTCACTTACTTATTTATTCAGTTTTATAAATCTTATCCTACTGAGTCTTTCGCTTATTTTTCTATGTTTCAAATGTATTTAACCCCACCCAGGCGACGCTAGTAGCAGCGCATAATAGGTGAGGAATTCAGTTCTAGAAGAAAGGAAGCGGTGAAGCATTTTCCATCTTACTCAAACTCATTAAGACATGTATTAATTATGGATTGTAAAACCCTAAACTTTACTAGACTGTGATTGATGTCAGTTATTTACTTTTTTGTATTTAATTATGTATGCACAAGTATAACCCTGTGAATGCCGGAGGTTGACTTTTGATGTTGATCTTAACAGTAATTGTGTTTTGTAAAGTCCGTTTCATTTTTTCTTAAAACTCGATTTCGTTAACATAGCGGGGCTTATTTGAAAATACCTGAGTGTTTGGGATTTGAAATTAAATTTTGAAATGTTAACGGTTTAATCACCCTCTTAATCAAGTTTAATTTCTAAACAAGTCTCTACGTCACTAACTCTTGTTTAGGGGCGTGACACTTTCAAAGGATAAAAATAGAAACGAGTTCAGACTTAAAGACTTTTATTATTAACTTCCTTTATTGATTCACCTGTGAATCTTCTCGAATTCGAAGATTTTGTCCTGTTGGATCCAGCAAATCGTTTATAACCTGGACACAGTAGGTAGATCCAAGACAACTTATCAGTATAAAAAATTAAAAATTAAAAATTAAAAAAAAAAGCACCAAACAAAATAGATAAATCGACAAATAAAGCAGCATATGCTTCGTCAATGTTCAGATTTAAGTGTATCAACAGAAAGCTACAGATTAAAAGATTGAATAAGTACCTGAAAATTTTGGGTCAATTGGAAAGTGTATTAAAAACTAAAACACCATTTTAGTAAAATATCATTCATGTTTTTACAGCTTATAAATAAACACAACAAATAAAAACTTTTAATCTTTATCAAAATAAATAAAATTTGTTAAGAAAACGAAACAAAACCAAAAGAATAAAGGAGAACATTGAACCCTCAAAAACGACCTAACCAGCCACGGAGCTAAAATATAGAGCTAAATAGATTCTCGCAAACCTATTTGTAGAATAATCTTTAAAAAAAAAAAAAAAAAAATCACCTTCAAGTGAAGGAATACAGAAACCAAAATTACAGTGAGCAATATATCATTGGTTATTAGCATCGCCTTCTTTTCCACCTCATTTTACACCAGAAGTAAAGAATTTTGAACCATTCCACTGTCATAGCTTTACAGGTTCCCTTGTCCTGATATTTTAGGTTGTAAATTAAGAAGGCCAAACTAAACCAAGTTTCGATCTCCAAATGAGCTTTTGGTTTTAACAAACTCTTTGACAATTTTCCTTGATAATCTTAACCAAAAGAGGGAGAGTAGAATGGCTGAATTAAACCCTCTTCAAAAGTTTAAATTCCTTAGGTTTTCAAACCCCAAATGAGTTGAAGCAATCTTATTGCATGTAGATTAACTTAAAATTCACTTGACTATAAATTTTATTTTAGGACTAAAACAATTCCATACTGATGCGATCTCTTGGGATATGCAGGTACTCTACAAGTCCGGGCTTGTACGACAAAACTGCAAATACTGATGGATTAGGTTTTCAAACCCCAAATGAGTTGAAGCAACCTTATTGCATGTAGATAAACTTAAAATTCACTTGACTATAAATTTTATTTTAGGACCAAAACAATTCCATACTGATGCGATCTCTTGGGATATGCAGGTACTCTACAAGTCCGGGCTTGTACGACAAAACTGCAAATACTCATGGATTAACATACTTTGCCCTTAAACTACATGATACCAAGTGAAATCCTTTTGACAAAATATAGCCCCAAGTCCCCAAAAAAGATATAGGTCATATGGAAGTTGAGAAAGTCTAACCTCATTGTAAATTTCTAAATATGAAACTCGTAGAAGAAACTCTCGCCTAGGAGTCTGAAACATAATGAAGAATGTTACGATAGAGAATGGGGTAACAACTTACGAATAAAGTTAAAGTAATCCATTACCTCCTGTATAATGCCAAAAACATCCTTAACTGCCAATGGAATGATTCCAGGTGACTTTTGCTCCCCCTGAAGTACAAGAGAAGATGTAGAACTTCATAATTTTTAGTTTGCAAACATTTCACACAAACAAAACATGTATAGCTCCTCTAAATCTTCATATGAACATAAAATAGTAGGCAAGCAAACTAACGTAGATGAGAAAGAAGAACTAACAAAAGCGGACACAAGACGAAAAACTGAACCAGAACCAGAACTGCGAGAAGCTTAGAACTTACATGCATCGTGTGGGTTTTTCCACTACTGGTAACGCCATATGCAAACACTGTACCTGCAGATATGGAGATAGGCAGATAGCCAATGACAAAGTTGTAAATTGTGTGGTGGGATTATGCGTATATTTTTGTATTTTACACAAGATGGGCAAATTAACAGCATAAATTGGATTTAGATGGGAAAGAAATTACGCCTCAACTAAAAGTTAAATGTGCACCTTTACGAAGGAAAGAGACCTATGCCTATGTAACTACCAAAATTATGGGGAACACCCCAAAAACAACGAGACTGGAAAAGAAAAAAAAAGGTGATCTTTCCATTTTGGATACTGATATTAGATACTCTTATAACAAAATACATTATTAAGAATATGCGACTGTGTTAATTACCATTAATTCCTTCCATGGCACCACAAACAACATGCTGAGCAGCAACGTCGTAAACATGGCGTGTCGTTGTTGCTGGACCAAATACCCTATCTGCATCAGGAAGGAAAAAAAAAAAAAAAAAAAACAGAAAAACACTCGTGAGCAATCGAGGATCCACATCACAAGATCTAACTACTTAGAAAATAAAATGTTAAATGCAGCTTCAAAACTAATTTCCACACGACAAGATATCATTTTGCAAATACGTATCAACAGAAAAGGCAAAGAAAAGATATGTATATAAGGACAATTGAAATTTGAACATAAAAAAGACTAACCAAAACCATAGGAAATGGAAGGATTGTACTCATTCCTCACTGTATTATCTCCGTCCGCGTACCACGCTATCTCGTCCCCTTTGTTAATCTCTCGTGGACTGATTAATTCACATTCACATCCCAAATATCACCATAATAATCAAGTCAAATAAGGCAAACCAGAACAAAAAGTAAAAAGCTCGAAACCGTCAGCAGCAGCTAGCTAGCTGACAGACCAATGACACGCAGAAAAAGCCAAACCGACAAACAAGGAGGAGTGAAACCGACGACGGAGTACCTGAGGGGACGGAACCTGACGGTGACGGTGACATTCTCCTTGGCCTTGGCGACGTCCTGGCGGTCGACGGCCTGGATCGGAGAGCTAGGGCTAGCCGACGTCGCCGGAGAAGCAGACAGCCTGGACGGAGGCCTGGACGACGTCGTCGAGGAAGGCGTCGAGGGGCGAATTCCGGCGGATTTGGAGGACGTCGACGGCGACGGCGCCGGGGACTTCCGAGAACGGAAGGGCGAGATGGCGGAGGAAGATCGGTGCGACCTGGAGCTGGTGCCAGCTCCGAACATGGTGTAGAGAGAGAATGAGAGGAGAGAGAGAGAGGGAGAAGTGGTTGACGGGTTCACGTGCCGGCCAAGGTGAAGCGCCAAAGAGGAGAGAAGTGCCGCCTTGGGAATTTGGACCCTCTGTCTTTGGGCATTTGGTGCTCCCTCCAAAACCGAGACTTTCTTTATTTACTGTTGATTCTTTGAATTTTGTCTACGCCTATGGCCCGTCTTTGTTTTCCAATGCGCTGTAATGTCTCTTATGCCCCTACTCGATCTCACTTTTCTTACGGCTGTTTTCACCCTTTTTGGATTTTTCCTAATTCTTTTTATTTGTACGGAACATTCTTAATTCTCAAATGAAAAAAGGAGCTCCTTCACTCGATTTATAATGAAATGTTTGTTTCAGACTTTAGTTAATTATGTATAATATTTTTTTTATAAAAAATTTAAATTTTAAAAATTAAAATCATGTGATTCTAAATTTATGAAACAAATATCTCATTAGTATTTTATTAAAATTGAATTAAAAATTTAAAGGTTCAATTTGATAGTGCTATAAATTTTAGAAAAATTATTGTTAACTGTGCTGAAAAATAAAGAGTTGTTACAAAAAGTAACTAAGTGTTTGAGAAACTGTAATTATATAAGTATTGATTCCATATGTATTATAAGTATTATAAAAATTTTATTAATTGTACTTCAATGTTATTGCCGCACAATCTAAAAATCAAAATTATTTTTAAACTATTTTTAATTTTAATTATAAATTCTTTAAAAAAATTTTAAAAATCACTTTTTATGATTTTTATCAAACACTAACTTTAATTGTAGATGACTTGAGAATTAATTTGAAGCTCTAAAAATCACTAGTAAATATATCCAAAGTGCAACCTAGAATAGATTGGGAGGTTCAAAAATATGTATCAAAGATCAACCTAGTTTTCCATTAAAAAGAGTTGCCCAAACTAATAATTGTTTATTTTATAGGAAAAAATACATATTTGTAATTTAGTCTTAAATTTTAATTAAAAATGCCTTCTAAGACCCGTAATTATTTATTTTATAGGAAAAAATACATTACGTTTCATTTTTTATAGAATTATTTTCATAATTACCACAGAACCATATGTTATATTTCAAAGTGTTTACTAATTTTTTAAAATGGTTTAAAAAATCTTTTAATATATAAAAAACAGATCAAAATGCTTCATCTGTGTATTTTTATCTATCATCTAACGGATTTACTGAGTTGACAATCATTTTAATATATTAAAACTTAATTAAACTAAAAAATGGATTAATTATTAAAAAATTAATTAAAAAAAACTATGAAATTCAACTAAAAAACATCTGAAATTATTTTTCAAAACCCACCCAACTTCTGAACACCAAATCAACCTCTAGCCCTTCCTTCGACGGCGATTGCCCATTCTCCCAACAACGACCAAGCTTTGTTGCTAATTACACCGACAAGATTTTGAAGTCGAACTCTAGCTATGGCACAATCAATGGTTAAGCAGTGGCGTCAGATTGTTGATGCCCAAAAGCCCTGTCTCCGACTCGAGAAATCACTCCTCGTTGCCGCCATTAACAATACCTTTGTACTATATCTGGGCTTCGGTGAGGGGCGGAATTACAGGGTGGCTTCACTGGGTGGATGGGTGGGTTCGCAAGGGTCGTCGCGTCGGAGGAAGTGATTCGCCAAAGGGGGCGTTGCAGACGGATGAGGGATGGCTGCGACGAGGCTTGAGTTCGCGAGCGGATGAGGGCGGTGGGGCCTGGGTTGCGCGGCGGCGGTGGGTCTTAGATCTGGTTTTTTTTTTTTTCCCCTTTCCAGATCTGGGTTACACAAGCTATTCAATGGTCGCAACATATTACCAAAGCTTGAATGGTTGAGACGTAACTTCCTCAAGCATAACTGCTCAACACAAAGAAAAAAGCATTAGGATGGAATTTCCTCTGTGATTGAATAAAGGACTTGAACATGAGCGTATGATGGTAGATCTTCGAAAGCAGAAGAAGACATTCCTATTGGGTTTTTTGGTTTTTGAAATAAATTAGTTGTTTTAGTTAATTTTTTAATTTTTTAAAACTCAAATTTTTTGTATTCATTGTTTCTAACAAAAATCAAGTTTATGATTTAATTAAAATTTAATATCTTTAATTAATTTTTAATGGCTAGCCACGTTAGTAATCTGTTTGAATTATAGACAGAAGATGCATTTTGATATATTTTTTTTTATAAATTTATAGTATTTTTAAACTATTTTAAAAAATGAGACGATATTTTAAAACATAATACATAATTATGAAAATAATATTTTTTGATAAATAAATATCCATTTACAATTATCATAAAAAACAAAGTCCATAAACAATAACAAACGAGCACCATTAAATGTGAAATAAAATTAAGAAAAATAGTAAAAAATACGTCAATATAAAAAAATTAAGAAGGAATATAGGTCAATTTTTAGTTATAAAAATTAATAGGTCATAATTTATTAAGTTATGGTTCATAATCAGATAAATTATGAACCAACTTGTCCAGTTATGGTTCATAGCCAGATAAGTTATAGATAATTATGGACAATAACTTGTCAAGTTATGGTTTATAACTAGACAAGTTATAGACGAAAACAGTAATTTTGCCTATTTATTAACTTATGTAAACTATTAATCTATTAATTTTAATTCATCTCAAATCTCAACTTATTTTCCTCTTTCTCCCTAAAATTAAATTGATATATTGTGAATTCTCATCCATTGTTCACCGACGAATAAATCGTTAGTAGTCTGCTAGGCAACTTCATTATAAAAGTCCGCTATTTTATAAGATTATTGTTCTTAAGTTATAGGCCACACGAGAACGCACAGCTATTAGAATACCTTCAACAACAGAACAATAATCTTCGTAACACTTGTGTTCATAATAAATTTTAGTTTATAGATTTCATAATTATTTATATTTTTTATAAGAAAAAATATTATAACGAGTCACGAATTATAATTCGAATTATGATACGAATCCTTATACTAAACACTTAAACACTTAATAAATATGTGTTCGTAATGACATTAGGAACACATTTAAACTGAGGAGACTTCTCCTTAAAGAAACCCTTCAAATAGCAAGGGCTTCTCCCATGGTCAGAACATCACAAATCAATTAAGCCTGGTGAAACCCTTTCATGGTATAAACACATTAAGAAGATATGTCAAAAATGGAAATTGAGTAGCATTCATCCACCAAGTTCAGATTTGTTGTCCTGAATAGGTTATTTTTTTAACTGTCTCTCCAATAAATTAAGCATAATTAGAATTGAGTTGCATTCATCCACCTCGTGTGTTTTACGTTATAATTTTTTTTTTTAAATAAATCTAAAATCACGTCATTACTCTAGAACATGTAATTCATTTATAACATCTTTAATAGAATCAATAACCAAACCCATATAGAGCTAGGAAAGTTAACCTTGAGAGAACAAACCCTAAAAAGACCATAGGGAGATTAAAAAGACTAAGGCCTCGTTCGTTTCGTTGATTCGAGTTTAGAATTCGAGTTGAGATGTGATTTTATGTGAGAATTTTTTACTGTAGTAAAAAAGTTAGATGTGACTGTTTGTGAGAGCTTTTTACTGTAGCAAAACTCGAATCAGCGAAACGAACGAGGCCTAAGTCCCTATTTGTTTTAACAACTCAAACTATTATTTAGGATTCAAATATTAGTTTAAGATTTAAACTGGTGTTTGAGAGAGGAAAATTTAAAAACAATTCAAACCATTAGCAATGGTTCAATGACAACTCAAATTGTTGATTTTAGAATTCACCTCCTCCTCATCTAAATCCTAACAATCCAAATTGTTGTCAACAATCTATAGTTACATATTATACTTTTTCTCTCTCTTCATTTTTAATTTTAAAAATATCATAACTTATTCGTTTTAATTCCGATTGAGATGATTTTTTTTAATGTGTTCATAATGAAGAGAAGAACAAATCCTCATCTATATTGCATATTTTTTAATGTCAATTATAATGAGGTTTTATAAGATTTATTACAAAACTTTAATGACAGTTTTCAACACTTTATTCAAAACACAATTTGAATTTTATTATCAATTCAAATTATAATTTATTTGCATATCCAAATAACAGTTTGGATCACAATTTGAATTACCACAATTTAGATTCTACAATTATAACAAAAAGATTCAAATCTTCACAATTTAAATTGTTGAACCAAACAAACCCTAAGAAATAACAACGACACATTATGAAAGAATGGGATCCCAACTACCAAACCGACCACCGAACCAACACGTCATAGCTAAAGGGCATCTAGGGAACAAATGGATCTCATCATTTATAACAACGCAACACAAAGGGGACTTGTATATTTGGAATGACAAATCTCTTAAGAAAATAAACACAAAATAAACCTTTACTGCTAAATATTTCTTTAGATTATTTTATCCTGAGTAACCTCTCCATAAGGCCTTAATGCTCAAATTAACTTTGGATCCATATAAAGAAAATTTATTCAATATAAAAAATAAATAGAAGTTAGCTAAGTAACTCACTATTACCCCAAGTAGGAGTGATAATTCGTAACGGATTGTGTTTGTGTCAATTTATTTATTAATCATGTCAAATAATATTAACATGAATGCAACATATTTATTAAACGAATTAGAAAATGTCAACCCGAACAATGTAAACGTATTAAGAAAAAAAAGCAGTGTAACGTTAGGATTGGGAACAGTAGGGAAGGCCGTCCCCGTTCTCCCGCCTCAAAATCGTGTTTGGCGCCATAAGTTGTATCAGCGAAAACTTCGATTCTCTCTCCAAACCCAGAACCCTAACCAAACAAATTCCCAAATCCTAAAATCGGAGAATCCGAGGTCGCATAACAGCCCTAGCCCTCTACCACCATGACCGAAGTTGTTTCTCTCATGGACATCGACGACGACGACAACGCCGGTGACCGCTCTGCGAAGCCAATCAACAAGGGCAAGAGCGGCGCCGCCCCCTCCGACGGCAAAGCCACGCCCTGGGTCGAGAAGTACCGCCCTCAATCCCTCGCCGATGTGGCCGCTCACCGCGACATTATTGATACCAGTGAGTCAATTCATTTCCTCCTCTTCATCTCTAGGGTTTTTCTTTTTCTTTTTTTGTCCAATTTTCCTTCTGGTTTCTGTTTAGTTCTCGGGAAAATCACTCTCGTTTTTTCCCTCTCTTATCGTTGGTTTTGGTACGCGAACAGTTGATAGGCTGACCAGTGAGAACAGATTGCCGCATCTTCTACTGTACGGCCCTCCAGGGACGGGAAAGACTTCGACGATTCTTGCCGTGGCGCGAAAGCTTTACGGAGCGCAATACCACAACATGATTCTGGAGTTGAATGCTTCGGACGATAGGGGAATCGACGTCGTGCGTCAACAGATCCAAGATTTTGCTAGCACTCAGAGCTTCTCGTTTGGGTATTTTCTGTAGTTTTGCTCTTTTCCCCGTAGTGGGTCTTGTTAATATTGAAGGATTCTTCTTCTGAAATATTACTATAAACAAATGGCACCTTTTGTTTTATAACCGATTATGGAATGGTTTTGGTTGACAGTGTGAAGGCATCAGTGAAGTTGGTTTTGCTGGATGAGGCTGATGCAATGACAAAGGACGCACAATTTGCTCTTCGAAGAGGTGTAATAGTAATCTGGTGCTCTGTTCTTAGTTAGTCCCTTTAAAAAAAAAAATGTATTTCAATTTTCAAGTTTTCATATTGCCGTTCTTAGTTCCTAATAATACAAATATTCTGTGGTGCAGTGATTGAGAAATACACGAAGAATACAAGATTCTCCCTTATATGTAACAATGTTAACAAGATTATTCCAGCATTACAGTCGAGATGTACTCGTTTTAGATTTGCTCCTCTTGATCCCGTTCATGTCAATGAGCGACTCAAACATGTGATAGAGGCTGAAGGGCAAGTACTGTTTTCTCTAGCTTTTTGACTTCATGTTTGTATTCTCTGGATGTTTCTTTGGGAACGTTCAGAGTGAAGATTTGTTTTCGTGTTACATTATTTTGGATTCGCAAGTTTTGTTGGATATGTCAGTACCAATATCAGTTCTTTGTGTGGGGGCAAAACCTTATCTATAGAGACGGAGGAAACCGACTTATCTGTATAGTTATTTTTTTTGACAACTTTTGCGTTGAACAGGCTTGATGTGTCTGAGAGTGGCCTGACGGCTTTTGTACGGCTTAGCAATGGTGACATGAGAAAGGCCCTGAACATTTTACAGGTTATTAAGATCTTTACGTAAATTTGATCGCTTGTTGAGAATAATTGTTCAAATTTATCATTTTTTTTCTCCTTTAAGAGATTGAATTACAATGAGATTTTCTTTTGTTTACACAGTCGACGCATATGGCTTCCAAGAAGATAACAGAAGAAGAAGTATACCTTTGCACTGGAAATCCATTGCCCAAAGACATTGAGCAAATATCTTACTGGCTTCTGAATGAATCCTTTGCAGAAAGTTTTAAGCGTAATTAAAAGCCTAATTTATTTTGTGCTACTCTAAAATTCCAATCATGATTTGCTACTCTCGGACTCCATTATGTTTCTTACGTTATATTGTACCCTGTTATTGTAGAAATATCTAATATGAAAGGAAGGAAAGGATTGGCCTTGGTTGACATTGTAAGAGAAGTGACCATGTAAGTTCTTAGCATTTATGCTTAATACCCCCCTCTTTATTTTCTTTTCCTCATTTTTTATGCGCTGTTGTTTGCAGGTTTGTCTTTAAGATAAAGATGCCGTCAGATGCTCGGGTTCAGTTGATTAATGATCTGGCGGACATAGAGTACGTACACATGCCTTGCTATGCTTTTGTACTCTATTTTCATCTTCTGGTAACAAGTAGAATTATTTCTTAACCTTTCAATCATCTTCATTACTGTATTGCTGTAAAAGGGAGGAGATGCATGGGAACAATAGGGACGCATTCTTCTCACTTTTGTTTCAGGACTTTATCAAGCCTGGTTCAATTGAACTGGAACTTGCTAAAACTTGCATTGGTACTTAATTCTCCAGGACTTGTTTCTCAATGTGCAGGTACAGATTGAGTTTTGGCTGCAATGACAAATTGCAACTTGGATCACTTATTGCTTCTTTCACAAAAGCTCGAGCCTCACTGGTTGCTGCCGCGAAGTAGTTATTTTGTTTGTCCGATTTGCATCTGCTCCCTTCCCTTATCAAGTTACTTCTGAGGCATGTTGGTCGTGCATTAGCCCTTCGATGCAAATATGGATGTTGTAACGAGATTTGTTCTATGCGATGTCAGCTCGAGACACCCATTTCTCTTTCTTTTGAAACATTTGCTGGTGAAGAGAGCTGGGATTAGAGGGTAAAAAAAGCCTCATGATAGACATTTTGCTTGTGTAGCTTTGTGGGGCATGAGAATTTAAAATGTAAAGGTAAATGAAATCGGAATTTTGCAGCTTGAGAGTTGAGATTGGCTTTTTCGATATGTTGCTGTTCTTTTAGATGCATTTTCGGCTGCACTATAACATAATTATCGTTTCAGCTACCAGTATAAACTAGACTATAATCTTATCTAAATTTTCATGGTTTTATCGTCCTTTAAAAACACAAACGACGGACCTCCCTTTAATGGGACTAAGACTGCCTTCCGATCAAGTACTGCCTCTATTTTTTCTTTGCCATTGCCTTTTGCGCTTTTATGTGGTACCTCATAAGTCACAAGAAGCCATAAAGTTGAATTGTAACAAGTGACAATTCATTTAGAGTTAGTTCATTTCACCGATATTTTTATAGTTAAAAGCTCTTAAAAAATATCACATTTAATTTTTTCTGTTATAGTTAAAAGTTCTAAAAAAATATCACATCTCAGTTTGAATTGAAAATTCAAATACACAAAGCGAATGAGGTTTTAACATGTTGCTATAAGTACATGATATGGTACTGGGGATTGGTAAACTTACCAAGTCAAGAAATTGCAAACAACAATTTGCATATCAGAGTTTGTTGCCCAAAAGGAATCTTTTCTCAAAACCAATGGCCATGTGGATGCTATTTGAAAATAGTACAGGTAACAAATACAACATGTACAGCCCTATTTACGTCATTGAAAGGGCATAATTTCATGGAAAAAGCTCAAATTCACGGATTTTAAAATGTTTATTCCTAGTATCTCTGAAAAGCTAACACCTACAGAGACTTACCTGTACAAACTCCTATCAGCTTTTAAAATTCCTATATCGTGGCAATGCCTTTCCACTTTCAAGTTAACGAATATAATTTACACTTAAGACAACTTAAGACTACAAAACTGGACCTCCAGAAGACATCAACAACTACAACCATAAGAAATTCGCCCGCCCTATTAAGATAATTATTTATTTTTCTATTGCATAGCTTTGTGGGTGTATTTGCTGCCCAATTGCCGTATTCCTCATCCGAGGTATGTCTCTTCACATACCTTCATTTGATATTCTGTTGGACCAGATAATCTCAATTTCTAGTGAGCGCGAAGATCCGTCTTTGTTGCCATCGTGATTAAGGCTGAACAATCCACTGTATACCCCTTCAGTAACAACTTTGTCAATTTGGATAGTCACTTTTCCCAGAGTATTCTGAAAAAGAAAGGCACATAAATCCAATTGTCAAGATGCATTATATGTGCCAGAGTTTAGGATATAAAAATAAGAAAATGCCATGTGAACATCAGCCATGTGCAGCGATAAACAATGTAGACATGATCGCATGGACGACCAAATTGCAAAGAATGTAAAGCAATAAACGTAACACTGATTACCTTCCCAAAAGTATTTTTGCTTTTGCAAACGATGTGAAGCTTTTGTCCCTTCGGAGGTACATCAAATGCCCATGTAAACCCTTCTTCCCACTCTGGAGAAATACTGTGGCTCACTACCTAATTAGGATAAAAGCGTATGTTAGCATAACGTGACTGTAAGCTGTTAGAAATAAAATCACCAGATACGAAACACACAATTTTAAATCATTATTAAGTCCTTTGCACAATAATTTCCATAACCAATTTATTCTTGTTAAATCCCGGAATTGGTTACTTAAAACTGGAACTCCTTAAAGGAAATTCAATATCATTTATTTCCATAAAAACAAAATTTCTGGAAGATCCAGGTGTAGCCTACTTCAACTGTTATTTAAACTTAAGTTCGAAATCCTGAGTTGCCATATCTTGATTGCGATTGACGCTATACTATGAACTTCACATTTTCTGGAAACGATGACAGAAAGCTTAAACCATTGCATGTCAACTAGAAAATGAACATGTTATTTCAGTACATAATACATCTACTACCTTGGTTTGTCGAGCAGGACCGTTGCCTATTGTTAATCGACAAAAGGCATTTGTGCTTCCCATAGCCTGCTTGAGGTTGATTCCACGCCTAATTGTAACAGTCAAGCAACCGGGTAAGCAATGTAAAAGGCTGTCTGCTCTCTCATGGAAACTCGGCGGGCAGGTCTTCATGAGCATTTGCAGTGTGGGAATGGCTTCAGCAGCAATCATGGCTTGAGATTTTGCTATTTCTATTGCCATGGTTGCCCAAGATTGTTTTAACAAGCATAGGGTGTCTAATACAGATTCCTGAGCTGCCTCACTACCAGATTTTAGAACTCCTATTAAATTGGGAATGCAGAGAGTAGCTGCTTCGGAGATATGGAGCTTGGGGAAGTTGGAAAATATCACGTGCAAGGTTCTTAAGACCTCTTCATTGATAGTTGCCGAGGACCACATCTCTCTTTCAAGTGCAGCTGCAGACCAGAGAATTATAGGATTCAGTATATTAACAAAAACCATAAAAAGAGTAAATAAAAAAGAATATTTTACTTCTCATCACAACCGAGTAGGGAAGTTACTTGAGATGGTTTGGTGATAACATGAAGCAACGCAAAAAAGAGAGCAGAATCATGTAGGAGGATCAAAAAAAGAGTAGGGGAGGATTAAGACTGACATGGGTGAAAGTGATTGGTGAATATAGACATATAAGAGATGCAAATAATGTAGCTCCACAGAGAAAAGAGGATTCACACGTAATTTAGTAGCTTTTATCAAATATTCATGTAGCCGCGTCCAAAATATTCAACTAAGACTGATCCGAGTTAAGCAGTATTAACTCTCCAAGCTCTATAAGAACAGGAGAAATGAACATATACCCACCATCTTCATCAGATGCACACTTAGTGTACTTTTCCATATATTGTCTAAAAAAGATATTATAATAGTAAACTACATGTGTATGTCCGCATGTTGATATGTAGACAAACATGCGTGTGGGTTTTAAGTTGTTTTTTTCCTTTTTTCTTTTTTTTTTAAATGGAATCACTTATTTTAACATAAAATGAATAAGTGAGAAGTCCTCTTATAATGTACAAAACCACCATATCCCCTGAATGCTGACACCAGTTTTTTTCCCACAACTTCTAAATAAAACAGATCGAGTTTATTTCTTTAATCTATTAAATTTATTTATTTATTCATTTTTAAATTCTGAAACCTAGAGCATTATGAATATTTTTAAACAAAGGAACCAACATTCTGCAAACAGGTCCATGGGTGTAAATATATCAGCACGTGTAAACAAAAGGGAGCATCCTTGCATTTCATAATTACCTGTCAATGATCTAATTAGCTCGTTTGACACATACTCTTGAAGTGTGTGATTAGAAAATAAAAATTTGATCAGCAATGCTGCCTGTGCAGAGACTTCTGGATTGGGAGACAGTAGTAATTCCTGAATGATCAATATGCCACCTGCTTCTGCGACAGCTCGCCGATTTGTTCTGCTGTGCATGACAAAGTTTTGCAATGCACAGATTGCTACCATTTTCATATCCTCTGTGGGCTGATCTTCAAGCAAACTTATCAATGCACGACAGGCAGAAACAGAATCACTAGCTCTGGCAAGTCCCTCATGCTGGGAAAGGTCTCCAAGAGCTAGAGCTGCAAGAAGCTTACCAGATTGCGATCTGGTTTGTGGATCTAACAGATATTGGGACAAAGGTGCTATTGCATACTTAGAGACCTTCATCTCTCGTATCCGCACATTATTAAATAGTCCTTCAAGTAACCTTCCAGATGCTTCTTCACACTGATGAGATCTTAAAAGGTCCAAAAGAGCATCTATGGCTCCAGCTTCAGTCATCTGTATGGCGCTTAAGGCATCACTCCTTTCATGAACAATTAAGGCGTTAAGAGCCACAGTGATAGTGCTCTCAAGTGTTGAGTGCAGCATTTTCACAAGAACCACCACGGGAACTTTAAAATAGTACTCAGCATTAAAGCGTAAAACGTTAGAGAGGACCAAAGCAGCTGACTCCCACAGTGCATGAGGTGGTTGAGGGTCATCCTGAATGATCACCTTTGCAAGCTCAAAAATTCCTCCAGCATCAGCAACAGCCTTTGGCCAACTGGTGGAGATTTTCTCCAATGCCTTGATTGCAGTTTGCTGTAAATTCAATATTCCGATTCCAGCTAGCTGCACAAGAGGGACGACAGCATTCTTTGTTGTAATATCTTGTTGAAAATGTTCCTGTGCAAGAAGATGAGAGAGCAATTCTGTGCCAAGTTGTTGAATGGCTTGAGATGGGGATTCTAGAAATGAGATGAGAGGTTCAATGACTTGGCTAGGAGTGAGTTTTAAAGTCGTAAGGCTTTGTGGCTTCTCCAAAATATTTACAAGAGCCTGCAATGCACTATGCTGTCCCCACAAACTGATATCTGAACGAAGTAAAGCCAGGAAAAGGGGTTCAACAATATTTGCAGCGGCTGAACTTCGAGCAATTGCATTACTATTTGTCAAAATACGAAATAGTTCTGCAATAGAGGAGCATAATGAATTGGGAACAACGGGTAATAGGTCAAGACACTTATCAATAATTCCAGCATTGACCATATCCAATTTGCGTGGTGTCCGGTCTTTCCCCAACTTTATGAGAGAACAGATGCTGGCCTCAATTAGCAGATAGTTTGTCCCAGATACCAAGCCAACAAGAAGATCTACAATATCATAGGCTGATGCAAGCTCCACCTGTTGTTCATCATCCAACAATTTCTCAAAAGCACAAACTCCGGCTTCAACAGCTGCATTTGTATCAGATTGCATTAAGGATATAAAGGGCTCTATAAATTCAGAGACAATTGGAATTGCCCTGACTTTGCTGTTACTAAAAAGAACAAAACAGAACTGGGCTGCATTTCTCTTCAATTCTAAGGATGAAGCAGAAGACAATATTCTGTACAGACTCTCAAGTGGGTTTCCTTCCACATCAATCAGGAAAGCTGCTTTTGAAGAATTTCCTGAAGTCAACTTTATCAACGCGACAAGAGCAGCCTCTTGCTCACTCTCAGATGCAGCATTAAGCATGTCAACCAATGGCTGGAGAGCCTGTCTCGCGAGTTCCGAATCTCTGACGTTCTCTGCATCAAAAAGCTCATGTAGAGCCCTTGCAGCACTGAATCTGGCACTTCTTGACCCAAGACGCAAGACAGCTATAAGTTGATTTAAGGAACTTGCTGATGCTTCGTATCGGATCAGATCAGGATTGCTGAACAATATTCTAAATAATTCAGATATACTGGCTTCTGTTGAATCTTGTGGGCTCAAAGATAGATACTTTGTCAGAGCATCCAGAGCTCCAGCTTCACCCATAATTAATTTGTTTGCATCACTGCCATCTGCAATACGTGTCAAAAGATGGACAGCGATTGGAGGGGCAGCGGGTCTATCTGGTATTGGTCTCAAGAGATCAACTAGAAGTGGTATAGATTTACGTGCAGTGGACCCAAATCTTACATCTTCAATATCAAAGAGGTGCTCCAAAACAACTTGGTCAGGATTTCGCACCAGAGAAAACTCTTCTGATAAAGCAACAAGATTTGGCATGTCTGACTCTATATAGCCAACTAAGTTTATTAACCCAGAAACAGCACCTGAATTTGCAATGGCAAGATTGAGTCCCTTACTACCATTACAGACAAGACTGGCCATTGCCTGTGCAGCAAAGAATCTGTCAATCATTTCTTCAGATCTCAGCAGAAGAGCAAGTGAAGGTACTATGCGCATTGTTGTAGCAGATGAAACAACATCTGCATCTTGGAACAAAATAGCAAGAAGTAGGGCACTAATCCATATGCCTTCTGTGTCCTCATATTCTGCCTGTAAATAAAGACGATTGTTAAGTTCAGCTAACAAAATCAAATCCCAAATATATATTCAGCATTTACAAAATGGAATGCTATTTTCAAGGTTCTTTTTGGTTTTGTTTCATTATAATTTTCAATCTTTTGGCTGATCTGAGACTACCAGAAATGTTTTTGATTCTTACGAGAGAGAGAGAGAGAGAGAGAGAGAGAGACTTATCAATGTCATACCTGTGGATTGGACGAGTAACTTGCAAGCTTGTCAGAAAGAGCCTCAAGTCCACCAGCTTCCAAAATACCGACTCTGTTTTTTGTATGAAAGGAAGCTATTAAGGACAACAGCCACAAGGCAACCGTACCCCCCAATACACTGGCTGGGTCAGGAATATCAAAGTCATCTCCTTCCTGGAATGCTGTTCTTTCCATAAAACCTCTAGGAGTTCTGACTTCAATTTCCAAAGAGGAGCAGCTAGAATTTTTCTTCATAATGTCTACTAAAGCACATACGAGAGATTTCAAATATCCTGATGCATCAAGTGTTTCCATAGATTGTTGTTTGTGTTCTTTCACAGCACAAATTAGTAAGGCAGCCCCTCCAACTCTCACTTCTAAACTCAATGAGTTCATTATTCTATCAGCTAGTGAGCTAATGGATCTATATCTATCAACCAGCAGATCGCTAAGCACTACTGATTGGTCTCCGCAAAGCCTTGAAAGAATTTCGATGGCCTTATCTTGCAAGGAAGGAGGCCCATCAGCCAAGCAGCACACCAGAGGCTCTAGGCTTGAAGGAACTTCAGCAAGGGCAGACCAAGGAGGGTATGTGAAGTTCACGCCCTGCTTTGTCCTAGCCAAAAGTGATACCACTTCTAAAGCATCTGCAGCATCAGTCCCATCCAAATCCATTGAATTCAAGGAGTCCACAAGAGCGAGAACAACAAAACGACACTGAGCGTTTCCTGGTAGCACATCACCTAGCGAAAAATGCATCAGTAATTGATATAGGGCACGTGATGCATTCTTTTTACCTTCCAAAGTTCCTTCTCCTAGTACTCTTGTCAATGCAGAAACAATATCTTCTGTCAAGGCTTCTGCAGCAATCGGCGGATCAGATAGAAGATTGGCCAAAGCAGCAACTGCAGTTTCAGCTGCATCAATGGAAGAAGTTTTAGCCAGCTTGATAAGAGGTTTGACATCCCCTTCCGAAATATAAGACATCTTGTTTGGTGATTTAGTCTTTGTTGGACGAGACAAAGCACCTAATGCACGAGCAGATTGTGTTGCAACCACCTGGGCGTTGCTGGTCAGAAGCTTCATGCAAGGATGTATAATCTCATCAGTTGCAAGACTATCACAAATATCTTGTCTTGTGCTGAATAAATCAGCAAGGACTGAAGCTGCGTATTCTTGAGTTTCTTCATTTGATGAATTAAGAACCTGGACAAGAGATCTTAACCCTTTATTAGGTGCAGAACCCTTGTGCACAAGATCCTTCTGCGACGCCATTGTGAGCACATGACCCAAAACTTTGATTATATGGGCCTTTGAGCTTGGAGTGTCGCCAAGGAGCAAAGCGAGTAACTGGTTGATGGTGGCAGAATCTGCAGTCCTGATAAGCTTAGTAAGTGCCATTGCTGAGGCCTCTTGGCCTCTCGATCCACCACTTTTCAAGAGCCATAAGAATGCTGGGATTGCTCCAGCACTTTCAACACAAGCACGGATATCTTCACTGTGGCAGCATAAATTCCACAAAACATGTGCAGCATCCTCCTTTGCCTTTTGAGAGCCTGTCTCTAGCAACTGTACCAATGGGGGAATTCCACCTGCAGCAGTGATAGCCCACTTGCTATCATCAACCTGATCAGTTAAGATTGCCAGCAACTGAACAGCATACTCCTGATGCTGCTCACTTGATAAGCCCAACAATGAAATAAGTAATTGAATTCCTTCTCTCTTGCCTATGGCCTCCCAAATGCCAACACCATCACAGCACAAACTTGTCAAATACTGTATCAGATACTCTTGCACATCAGTAGTAGCCATTGTTATAAGTCCGATAAGAACCTTTTTGGCTTCTGCATGATTAATCCATCTTGAAAGATAGTTGTTTCCATAAAGACTAGCCATGGCCTCAAGCACGCGGTCCTGCACTAGCTTATTATCACGAGGCTTAAGTAGCACTACTAGAATATCCTCTACTTCCCTCGCATCAAAAGGCTCCTCATCACCACCAGATTTCATCTCAAAAACCATCAAAGTATAAGCTAAAGCTCCAATAATATCAGCAACTGGAGCAGTTAGACGAGGGGATTGTGAAAGGTCTCCAAGATATAAAACCAAAGCAGGCATCCCACCACAAATATTTGCTAAAGCTCGTGTAGCATGCTCTTGCAAAGCCTGACCACACTGTCCTTGCATACACTCTTTAGATGGAGCAACTATCGCCCCAATAAGAATTTGAATGCCATTTGCATCTACAACAGCCTTCTTGGCTTTTGCTGATTTTGAGGAAAGTGCTTCCAAAGCATCTGCTGCACTTGCACGCACAGAAATCTCATTTTCCCGAGAAACAAGCTGAAGCAAAACTTTAACTGCTCCAGAATCTATTACTTTGGGGATGCTATCACTGAAAGCCAACATCAGACGAGCCAAGAGAGAAGCTGCATTAGACTGAGCAGTAGCATTATCAGAAGACAGAAGACCAACAATTATATCCACTCCTCCAGCCTCAAGTGTTGCTCTCCAATAACCATCCTTGTCACCGCAAAGATTTCTCAAAGCCCCGGTGACAAATCCCTCTACCACTTTGTCCCGGTTATTCTTTGGATTGAGTTGATCCCATAAGGTTGGTACTACACCTTCCGTTACAAATATTTTCACACCAACATGATCATCAGAAAGTCCACCAGCAGAAACTTCATATATAGCCTCCGCTGCAGCTTTCCTGGCCTCAATAGATTTAGATTTCAAAAGCGAGAGCAAAGGTGGGATGCACCCGCCTAGAAGAACCTTAAGACGCAAGTCTTCATCCTTGCACAGAACACTCAAGGTTGCAGCGACGTTAACTTTAGCCACAGGGGTCCCACTTCTGAGAATGCTTATGAATAATGGCATTGCCTGGGCATGAGAACCAATAAGCACCCTGGCATCCTTTCTTGCTGTAGCAATACCTAGCAATCGTGCTGTAATAAGTTCTTTCTCACTTGGCGAAGATATGTTTGCATGTAGTTGCTCAACAAATTGAGCAACAGTCGTCATAGTAGATTCTGCATCATCCATTTCCCCAGTTCCATTTGAGTCCCTATTTAACAAAAAAAAAAAAAAAAGTAATTTTAAATTTGCACTTGGAGAACATAATACCCAGAAATTAAAAATTTTTAAAAAGAAAGTTACACTAGTTTTCTTTCCCTTTTTTTCTTTTTCTTGTTGAATGCCAAAGTCAATTTATCAAAAATTGGGTAATATGTCACTTTAGTGACCAGTTTACAAACAATAAAATTTAAAATCCACGAAATTTTTTAGAAAGATCAAGAAAATAGAAGATTCTAACAACACGCCCAAAAAAAAAAAAGAGTATAAAATTACTAACCCAGGCGGAGAGGTAGAGGAAGACACAGGGTCTCGTCGTTTTGGGGAGGGAGACTTTGACATTTGCACCATACGCCACTTAGGATTTCTTCTTGGCCTCTGAAATCAAAAGTAACGAAGCACGATTTCCACAAAATCAGCTGGAATTGACAAACAACTTCGCCGAAGAAGCGACTATTTTCACACAAAAATGAATAAATTTTCTATCACATTGGAGGAAAAAAAAACACTTTTTTTCTAAATTAAAAAAAAAGATCATGCAAAAGGAGAAATAAATAAATAAATTAATAGTACCTCGTCGGCAATGCAAATGCCGAAGAACTCCCCTACTTCTCACTACCTCAAAGCTCGGCACTTTCGCCAGAGAATCATCACTCTCGTCTACCTCATTTCCTCCAATTCAAATCCAAAACTTTTTTTCCCAATGGAACTACTGAATTGCGACAGCTCGCGAAGCGTTAGAGCTTCCTTTTCAATCCAAATCAAACCCAAACTCTGCACAGAAAATAGCGATAATTTCAGACAATACTCAAACCACAATCGGAATCAGATCTTCAGGACAGAGAACAAAATAGCAACCGAAATTATGCTAATTATCCGAATTAGAGCACTAATAATGTGATTAATTAAAAAAAGCTACTAAGAACAGGTACAGGTAGGAAGATCAGATCAGAGCATCATCACAGAAATCTAGGGCAACAGAAACGTCCTTTTCTTAAACTGTCAAAGAAAATGTACAATTAAAAAAAGAAAGTGCATGCAAATGCCAAACATTCATTTTGCAAATAAAAAAATAAAAAACCTTGAAAATTCAGTAACTGAGAATGAAGCAAATTCGAGCTTCAACAATGGCGGAAACCGGAAGTCTCTGTGAGAAAGAGAGTGAATCAGAGAGAGAGAGAGAGAGTCTGGGTCTTTTCGTTTCCTTTTCATGTGTGTGAGCATTTCTCTTTTTCTCTTTCCGTCTTCCTTTCTATCCGTCTTTCTTCTTCTTTTTTATTTTTTATTTTTTATTATTTTACTTATATTTCTGTTTTCTTATATTTTATTATGTATTAATTATTAATTATTTTTGACTGTTGTGAAGTTTTGAATACAGCAAATGAAATTTTTACACCTTTTTTTTTTTTTTTGGGCTTAACTTAACATACTGCCATGGTGGTGACTATTCAAACTTTTTTAACCTTGTTGTTCTCTGGGATTGATGCTTTCTTGGTCTTTTACTAGTATTTAAATTACTCTTTTTTTTTTTTTGGTTTTTGTATATTTATTTACATATTTTGCTGATTTTGATAGGGATATTCTTTTATTTGCAATTGCCACATGGCTAATGGCTGATATCATTGTCACAAGGTGATAATTGGCTTTGGATTTATCAGCGTATGTACCTTGATTTTCCAAACTTTTTGAAACCCATAACTTTGAGATTTCATCGATCAGTTTTTCCATTAGATTGGGGTTTTTTTTGTTTAAACCTTTGATTTAAGATGAATCTAAGGTCCCGTTTGATTCGCGGATTCAAATTTTTAATTTGAACTGAGACGTAATATTTTTTAAAATTTTTTAACTGTAATAAAAAATGTTAGATGTGACATTTTCTAAGAGTTTTTAACTGTAGAAACTTAGAATTGAAATTTCAAATCAGTAAAATGAATGAGTCCTAAGATGAAAATATTTGGGATTTGCAATGTGAGATTTCTTACGACTAAATAAGGATTCTATCAAAAATAATTAAGGTCTCGTTTATTTTACCGATTCGAGTTTTTAATTCCAATTTTATTATAGTTAAAAACTCTCACAAAATATCACTTTTAACTTTTTCTACTTCAGTTAAAAATTACCATATAAAATCACATTTTAATTCGAATTAGTAAACTGAATTAGGCCATAGCCTAAGTAATTGTACGTAGAATGTGTAATCTACTGCCCAAAGCACTGTGCTCATGAAGATTTATAAGTATGAGTTCCAATTTTGTATTTTTATCAATCGTACAATTTTTCTTTTATCAAACCCCAAATGAATATAATGAAATCGAAAATAAAAGTAAAGTAATAAACAAAGAATCAATCATTGATTCTCTTTTTAGTTTTTAGAGTTTATTTATTACATATATGGAAAATAATTAAAATCCCTGTTTAGTGTCGGCTAAACTTAATAAGGATCTTATCAATATAATTAGTCAAATATCTTTTTAGATAATTAAGTAATCATTGATTTTATGATACATGATTCACAAACTTACTTATCGTACAAATAAATTTAGCATTTATTGTCTTTAATAAGAAATCAATATTAGGATGTAAGTATTAATATTCTCTTTTTTTATTTTCTATATTGTCTGGACACATTAAATTTTATTTAAATTTTACTAATGAACATATATAATTAGATAGGAAAAAAATCACTTCTTCTTATTTTAACGTACCCTAAATTTCTAATTAATGTGTTTGTTAGAGTTTTGTGTGTTTGGTAATGAACAAATTTCATAACAAAGTAAAAATTAAATAGTTAAAGCAACCATATCAAGACGTTAAAAAAAAAAAAAAAAAGGCCACTTAGAGTTCAAACAACTATATGGTATTCTTAAAAAAAACAAAAAAAAAGTATTAAGGTATTCAGTTGGTTAAGACTTTTTAGGAGCGTTTGGAACTCATTCTAAAATAATTTTATTTTTGTATGAAAATGAAAATGAAAACATTTTCAATCTCAGATAGAAATTATTTTTAAAAATGCGTTTAATAGTTTTATCAAGAGATTATTTTCAGTATAAAAAGAACTCGTTAATGTCTCTCTCTCTCTGCTCGAGAGAAGAGAAAATGAAAACAAAAAATAAAAAACGTTCATTTATCTCTCATTTTACACTAAACCAATTAACCAATAAATCATTTTCATTTCCTTTTTTATTTTTATTGCGCTAAACGCTGTTTTAAAAATATTTTCATTTTTTTCTCTCAAAAAACGTAAAAAATAAAAATGGAATTAATTTCAAACACGGCCATTATAATTTACATCATATTTGAGGAGCACTTTCCTTAAAAAAAAAAAACAAAACAAAAAAATGAAGGAGCACTCGCTTTAGGAAAAGAATTATAGTTCTGCAATATTCAACAACATTCATTGATGCTTTAATTAGCCCTAAACCAAATAAGACCATTCTTTTAGATACGATATTTTTTTTTCTCAAAAAACGTAAAAAATAAAAATGGAATTAATTTCAAATACGGCCATTATAATTTACATCATATTTGAGGAGCACTTTCCTTAAAAAAACAAAAAAAAACAAAAAAATGAAGGAGCACTCGCTTTAGGAAAAGAATTATAGTTCTGCAATATTCAACAACATTCAGTGATGCTTTAATTAGCCCTAAACCAAATAAGACCATTCTTTTAGATACGAATGCAGAAAAATTATGGTGCTGTAACCATATTCAGAGACGAGATAAAGACACCAATTGAAAGCCGCTTCAACTATATAATATCAATGTGTGCGTTTATTTCCAATCCCACCACGAACAATAATTTTTATTTCATCTGATTGCGTGGCCCATATGCCATAAACCATTCACTATTTTGCACCTCAAAACTTATTCATCGCAGGGGCTAATTATATTGTTATATTCTAGAGATTTCTGACACTATAAAAAGCGGGGGAAAAAGAAAGAATGCATGTTTGCCCATATATATATATGTTTGCCCATATATATATATATATATATAACAAAAATAATTTTAATCTCATAGTAGAATCGAAAACGGGATTCACCTCACGTGAGTAACAGAGTTTTAACTCTTATAAGATGAATATGAGTGTGTTTTTTTTTTTAAATTAGAAAGGTTATAATAAAATATCAGAGCTAACCTAATCGGCTGATGAAAACTAACAACATCAAGGTTTAATAAAATGCATGTGCTTGGTAGGCAAAGTGTCTATTGTATCAGATCTTATGACTGATGTTCATATAAAATAATGCAATGTAGATCTTAACCACAACCAGTTTGGTGGAGGGGAAAGTGGACCCCGCGGAGCTAGAAAATCCTCTTGACTGATTATGACAACCAATGTATTGCACTGTTTGTATCAAAAGTTTTTTTTTTTTTTTTTTTTGGGGGGGGGAAAAAAGTTTTATCAAAAGTTTTTTTTTTTTTTTTTTTGGGGGAGTGAAAAAAGTTTATTTGGTCAGTCCGGAAGGAAAGGGATGTAAGAGACAGATGTTCTTAGATCTGCACCAAAAAAGTTTATTTATTTATTTATTTTTATTTTTTAAAAATAGTTTGTTTTGTTGGTGAGTTAGACCAGAAACTGCTCATGGGGATCCATGCGTATCGCATATGCATGTGGATACACGGAGCTTGGCAGAGACCCTTTTGTTGGATAGTTTCATTAAGTTGAAGAGATTCCCAAAAAAAAAAAAAAAAACTATTCTTTTGTCTTTTGAATTTTTTTAATATAAATGAATTGGGTTTATTTACTAGTGGACGTTTAGTTTATGAATTTAAAATCATGATTCAGAATCATTTTTAATTTATGTGTATTTTTTATGAGAGAAAATACTGTAACGAATCACGAACCATGACATGAATCCACCAACTAATAGAATTTCCGGTAACTATAAATTACTTCAAGACTTTGAACCTATTTTGAGACGTCAATTACCTCAATTGGTAATATTTAGACATGCAACTCTACTTCTTCTGATAAAGTCAACTATTTTGTAAGGAGAGAACGTTAATAGTTAAAATCTCAGGAACAAGAAGCTACACGTTATAAATTGAGTTGTAATTAAAAAGATGGAGTCTACTCGTTCATTTTACCAATTTGAGTTTTCAGTTGTAAGTTTTTACAGTAAAAAGCTCTCAAAAAATAAGTCAACTATTTTGTAAGGAGAGAACGTTAATAGTTAAAATCTCAGGAACAAGAAGCTACACGTTATAAATTGAGTTGTAATTAAAAAGATGGAGTCTACTCGTTCATTTTACCAATTTGAGTTTTCAGTTGTAAGTTTTTACAGTAAAAAGCTCTCAAAAAATGTCACATCTAACTTTTTCTACTACAGTGAAAAGCTCTCAGAAAATGTCACATCTCAGCTCAAATTGAAAACTCGAATCCACGAAGTAAACGGGGCTCTGTTTTGAAAAAAAAAAAAAAAAAAAAAAACTGTCGAAAAATCTTTATTTTCAATTTTTAAA